GGGGGCGCCGTGGCCCCCAGAGACTCACTTCACAGACAGGACACATTCAGAGAGGTGATGTGGCTGCCCAGGGTCACACAGGAGGCCCAGGCCTGACGGCCCCAGACTCTGCCCCCCCCCCCCCCCCACCCAGCATCTGCTCAGAAAGGCATCCCAGGCCCCGGGCACATTCCCGTGGCCCTCAGCCAGCACAGGACTTGGCCTGTGACGGAGATGATGAGTGTTGACAACAGGAACATGAAGGCATAGGTGACCTCTGACCCCGCCCTCACTCAGGCAGCCTTTGGCAAGGCCCTGGGGCCCCCGAGGCCTGCAGGTCCTGGGTGGGGCTACCTTGGATCAGCAGGCCCCTCTGGGGGCACAGTCTTGAGGACTCGGAGCAGGCAGCCCTGACCCTGCTCCCAGGAGAGCAGCGGGGGACACGGGCCCCACTCTTCCTCCCGGCCCTGGGGCTCCCAGGACAGGAGGTGACCCCCAGCCCCTCCCTGCACTAGTAATACTGATAACAGTGACATAACAGCCACAGACACGGGGGACTGGGCTCCTGAGGGGCACTGTCAACGCAGAACACAGGCCGATTCGCTCTCCCATTTAGCCCAGAGTGGTTCACTGCCCTACCCAAAGCCACACTGCCAGCAAGTGAGGGAGCTGGGATCTGGCTCCCCCCACGCCATCCTCACAGCCACCACGCACTTATCATCTCCTTAGTGCCCAGCCTGCCCCCGTCCCTCCTGACCGCCAAGCACCCTGTGTCCATTTCACAAAGTGCAACCCAGGCTGGGCTGTGATGGGGCTGGTCAAGGTCATGTGCCCCCAAAAGAGGTGGCGCTGGGACCCGAACACAGAGCCCCGGCTCCAGGTGACACCCAGGTCCCAAACAAAAGTCAGCATGAAGACAGTCACCCCCAGCGTGTCCCCACTAGGTGGGTGAAGCCCCCGCCCACCCAGTACTGGGTCCAGGCTTCCCAGCCGCTCAGCAGAGGGACGCATGGCCCCACTTCCCAGATGAGGAAACCGAGACTCGGTGGGGAATGACCTGTTCTGGGCCATCAGCTGGAACCAGGTCCTCTCCTCCACACAGACCACGAGCCACACTCTTAGCCTCTCCTGGCAGCCGCTCTCATCCCCAAAGACCCCTCCCACTCCAGTAGCATCACGACCACGCAAGCTGCAGCACTGCTCCAGGTGAGGAGGAGGCTGGGCTCCCTGCTGTGGGGCTTGGCCGTGGCAGTGGACTGCAGATCAAGGGCAGGAGCAACACCTACTCAGCTCTCTCTGAGGCATTCACAGCACTGCGGGCTCCTGCTGATAATCATGCCCCGGCTGGCTGTCACCCATCCCCCTTGAGTGCATCAAAGAAGACCATCTAAATCCTGGAGTCCAGCATGCAGACCACGGCCAGACCAGATCAGTCAAAAGACCTGCTGACTCAGGCTCATGAAACAAATGGCTGCTCTACAAAAGGCCACTGAGATCTGGGAGGTGCTTGTTACGCAGCAAGATCCTGAACACCTGACCAATACAATGACCACACGTTTCCAGAAGGTCTCGTGGGTACACGGCAAATGTCTTCCAAGACACAGTCTTCAGCAGGTCGGATAAAATCCCAAAGCCCACAAAACATTGTGCAAACTGTGGGAATGATCAACTTCCCTGCCACCAGGCCACAGCCGGTGCCACTGATAAGACAAAGCCAACTAGCTACCCCTCTCTGGGGGTAACCCAACAGTCTCCGTCTCCCTCAGCCCAGCGTGAATGTAAGAGGTAGGGGCTGCACAGGGAACCTTCTGGAATGTGTCTCCCAGTCTTCTGCAACAGACGGACAAGGATGACCGAGCGGGGGTGTTATGACAGTACCATGCACCACGGCAAAAGGCACCCCTGTCCACTGAAGGCAGACCAGGTGACTGTTAGAGTCTGTAAACAAGTCAAAATAACACCTGGCATTTAGCCAGGGGAATGTTAGAGTTCATAAACAAGTCTGGATGGTGCCTGGCAAAATGCCAGAGGGAGTGGTTTGAGAAGTAACAAAAGCGAGCTATTAAGTGTGGAGATTCCTTATTGGTTGACTGATGTATCTAGTTTATGCTAATAAGATAAGCTGTGTGGAATGTATAAATACTGCTCCTGTCCTGCAATAAACGGCTCCTACTCCTGCTGTATCAACGTACACAAGTTGTTCGTCACCCCCCGGTTAGTTTGCTGCAGCCAGACAGACTGCGGCAGGTGACTAAGGACACTATGCACACGGGAGTGTCCTTGGGCCCTTAGGAGGAGCAGGGTCGACCAACATGTCCCAGCACGGGGAGAGCCGAGCCTGCTCCGCATCACCATCATCGCGGGTGTGGCCCTACAAGAGGCAGAGGCACTGATTCATCACCCGGCTGTTTACTGAGCACCTACTGCGTTGGGCGGTTCCAGGATCACAGCAGTGAGGACAGATGGGCTCCTGCCCTCTAGAGCAGAAAGTCAAGAGGGGAAACTGGCCATGATACCGACCCTCTGCCACCACTAATAATAATAAGGATGATCCATAACAACCGCAATCTGTGCGCGTGAGCGCACGCCGTCTCCAAGCTCTTGTCAAGTGCTCCTCACTGCAACCCTCAGAGGCAGGTCCAATTATTATGCCATTTATTGGGAAGGAAAGGGGCTCAGAGAGGTCAATTCAGCTTCTCAAGGTCCCACAGCAGCAGATAAGCAGCAGAAACAAAATTCAAACTCATCCCTTTGATTCCAGTCGGGAGGTTGAAATGTCATTGATAACTAGCAGAGTGTGACAGGGACTGGGAAGGGAATAAACAAGTGTACGTGAACCTTCAGGAAGGTCAAGAGAAATGGCTGATTTTTCAAGAAGTAGAATCAGGAGTTTGAGATGCACTTTTCACCCAGTGGAGTATCACTGTGCCGTCTCTGACACGTTGGGTGTGTGGTGTGCAACGTGTTATTTCCAGAATACTATCTGCATTTTGATGTGTGTTCGTCCTTCCTAACTCAGCGATAGGAGCAGCCAAAGATCATGCTTCGCAAACATGCTTCATATTCTTAATGGAGACAGGTTATAAAACATTTCAAAGGTCAGTAAATCGAGCAATTAACCAATGTCGCAGCAATAACCCCTTCCCAAAGTCAAGGCCATAATTCTTCGCATACTTATTCACTGTGCCCTAAACCATCCCTGACCAGAGGATTCCGGAAGATGGGCATCTTGTGCAGTCTTGGCTCGCCTAGTGCCTTGCCTGCAGAAGATCCTCAATAAAATATCGTATTGGTGGTGGAAAATATTACCTATGTACAAATCTGAGTCCCTGCACCTCAATCCAAACAGAGGTCGGCTCACTTTTAAATGGCAGGCGTTTGATGGGGGGAGCGGCCAGGAGCACCCACCCCTCTGCAGAGGGACAGAGTGACAGAGTGCATGGCTTTGGGGCAGAGGGCTTGAGTTCAAATCCTGACTCTTCCACTTCCCAGTTGTGCAAGCTTTTAAAGTTTTGGAATCTTAAACCACAGACTGGAAGATCCCAAAGCAGGCACTGCCTGGGTTTGTTGCAAAGAATTAAAAAGAAGAATGAAAGAACTCAGTCCAGGTCCCGTCTCAAAGCAGCTGTGCTACGGGCTTTGCCTGCGTTCTCTCTGATCCTCCCATTTCACAGAGGAAGAAACTGAGGCTCTGGGGGGAGGGACTCATCTGGAATTATCCTCCTGTAATCTGATGGGTGAGCTGCGGCAGGACTGTTCCCTTCTAGATGCGCATCTCCTATCCTTCCTGGGTATTCAAGGAAAGGCAGGGGGTTGCTAATGGTCTTTTGGTCAGTCAACACACCCTGTGTTCTGGGCGTGCCGACTATCCCCACTTCTCCAAGGGGCAGCCCAGACTCCTTCTGCCATCCCTCCCTGCCCCCGCCTCCCACTCCTGTCCCAGACAGCTGCTCCTTCCCCCACACTCCAGATTGGGTGAGGCTGCCCGGCCTGGAACACTTCCTGCTGCCGTCGATGACATCATACCCCACATCCTGGGCACAGCCAGGCCAGACTCTGTGCCTGGCACTTCCCAGGCGCCACTTGGCCAAACCCAGGGAATCCCTGTTTGATGGGGGGACCCTTTCAGCAGCCCATTTTACAGACAGGAAGCTGAGTATCCAAACAAGTACCACAACAAAGTCACAATCCACACTCCAGAGCCGAAGCCTGGCCCCCGGGTGTCCCTGGCTGGCTCCCACCTTCCCTCCTGCCTCCTCCTGGAAGCCTCCCTGGGTTTACCCTGCAGCACATCCTCTGAAGCTTCTGCCCAATGGACCTCACCGACTCCAACCTTCGCAAAACGCAAGGTGGCGGCCAGGTCACATCCCTGCTCTGCCCCCTGCGGCTGGTCGACCTCAGGACACCCCAGCCCTGCATCAGACACAGGAGTGGGGAACCCCACCAGCTCCCCACAGGGAGGCCCTGCAGACTAAGAGGTTTGACAAGATCCCTGGCAAGACCACGGCTGAGCCAAGTGCACACACTCACATGACCTAAGTGTGTCCCCCACAGCGTCCTTCTCCAGGTGGACTTACACCCTGAGGAGGTGTCGTCTCGAGTGGCTCTCTGGATATAACCCTGCCCCGCGTCCTGGCTGCCATCCACCTTCAACACCAGTGTCCTGCTCCACGCAAGTTCGGCCCACCTGGGTTTTCCCAGCAGCCTCCTTACCGTCCCCTCGGGCTCCAGGACCGTCCCCTCCCTTCAGTCTCCACATCGGCCAGGGCAAGAGGGCCGGGAACCTGCTGGGGCGCCTCACTGCCCAGGAATAAAGTCCAGATCACAGGCACTGTGGCCCGGTCCTGGCCCACCCCCGTGCTCCCTCCTCCCTCTGCTGTTGGGCTTTAGGACCCAGGACACCAGCCTCTTCCTGCTGGCAAGAGTCCAGGCGACCAGGCTGAGCTCCGTCCTGCTCAGGTCCCAAGGCCCCTCCGCTCTTCTAGATAAGGGACTTTTTCTCCAAAGGCTTCCCCACCTGACGTGTCTGCAAGCCGCATCTGGGACACAGTGTCTTGATGAGTTGAGTGAATGAGCCAAGGGGAATGAATGAGCCCACAGAGGAGATACCCCGAGGCTCCTTCCCTGAGTTGGTCAGAGACACAGTCTGGTGATGCTGAGGGGACCCTGCTCAGGGGCAGACAGCTGGCCCCTCCACTCCGCCAAGATCTGCACTGCATAAGGACCAGCTCTCGGCCCTCGAGGGGAGGGTTCCAGCTCAGGATTGGGGGTGAGGGCGGCATGCCCAACACCGGGAACCGGGCAGGTTCCTGCTCCCCAGCTAGAATGTCAGATCCGGGCGGCCCTGGCCACACTCCACGTCTGCAGTGTCGGCATTTAGTAGGTGCTGGATCCCCAGGGCAGGCAGACTGGGCCAGCTCACCTGCCCCGCCAAACCCTGTGCCCAGACACTGAGCACTAAAAGGCCGAACTTCTCTCCAGTAACTGCCCCTCTGTGGAGCATGCAAATCCTTTCAAAAGGATCCCCCCAAACCACCAAGACCCCGGCCTGCATCCGCACAACGACCTAGGGACAGTCCCTGGCAGCCAATGAAAGAAGCAAAACACAGGGGTCAGGAGTGAACACAGGTCTGTCCAGGATCCTTGATGCATTAGCAACGGGAGAAGCCTGGGCCAAATGCCTGGTTACTCATTAGCCAACCCCAGAGCTTCTTTCTGCAAGGAAGGACGAGGGGAGCCATTAACCCATCTGAAAGAAAGGCCAAGCTAAACATCTAAGTCTGCAGTGCAGAAAGACAAGGTGGGTTTCTGGAGCCTTCCCTCAGACAATCAGGGGGAAGTCCAGGGGATGGAAAAGGACAGGAGGGGCGTGCGACTATTTATAGGAACTTTTTCACCTATTGTGTCCATTCACCCCGACATGCCCGCCAAAAGGGGAAAGGGTGACATCCCCACCTCCCATTTTGTCTCAGTGAAAACCGGAGCTCAAACAGGTTAAGTGCGTTGCCCAAGGTCACCAAGAGTCTCCAAAGAAAAAGCTTATTTTGTGTGCAACAGGTATAGCCCTTCCCTTTCCAAAAGGTAATGGCTGCTCCTGGCTAGAGAAAGTTCAGTCCTGGCCTGCAGGAAGCCCTAAGCGCTGAGGTGCCCTGCGGAGGTCACAAGCCCGCTCCCGGACACTCAGACACGAAGAACAGGGTTGAGGGCGCCGCGCCTCGATTCCGAGGCCAGTGCGTGCAGCGCTGGGAGGGTGTGGAAAGGTCAGGCTAGAGTGCGGGTCAATGGGCAGCTTCCCTTCCCAGGGGCCCCGCCCGTGTCCCCGGGCGCCACCCGCCACCGGGGCGGGGACCACATGGGCCTGTCTGGAGCAGGGGGACTGAGCCTCCATCTCATTAGGTCCTCCTCTGCCCTGGGAAGACGAGCGGACGGAGCGCAGGCCCCGCAGGGAGGACGCGTGCAGAGCCCCCGGGGCCAGCGCGCTGCCCTCCGCCCACCCGCGCTGTCCCCAAGGCCTGCGCGCCCCGGCCCCCGCCCCGCCCGGCGCCCGGGCTGCCCACGGTCCACCTCCCGGGCCTCCAACCCGCACGAATGTCCAGCTCTTAGCAGCTGCATGCTGGGTACCCCGGATTTCCAGCGATCCCCCAGCTGCTGGCCACCAGATCTCTCGGAATTCACTCCCCAGGCTCGGACCCGCGTGGAGGGGGAGGGATCCACTCTCAATTGCCAATCACCCTCCGCGTCACTGCCTGGCTGGGGACCCAGGGGGACCCCAGGCCGCCGGCGCCCGATCCCTCCTGGGATCGACTCCCAAGTGGCCAACCGGGTGGCGCGGGATCCATTGGTGGCCCGGTGCGGGATCTTCCAGCGGGATCCACTCCCAAGTCTCGGGAGACGGATTCCCCGGGTCCCAAGCCGGGCAGCCCCTCCCCGCGGCCCCGGAGCCCGGGGATCCACTGGGTCCCCGCCTCTTCCACGGCCCAACTTTGCCAACTTCCCCCCCCCCCCCCCCCCCCCCGGCCTCGGCCAGGCAGAAACTTGGCGGCCCTCGCCCGAAGCCGCCTCCGCAGCCCGCTAGCGGCTCGGGACTGGGGGCGGTTCGCCAGCGCCCACCCCCGCGGCCGCCGCGCAACCTACCCTGGCGCCGCCGCCAGCCCGCGCCGCGCCGCCACCTGCCCGCGGCCGCCGCACCTGCCCGCGCCGGCCCCGCGCAGCCTAGCCTGCTGGGGGCGGGGCCTCGCGCGGGAAGCGCCCCGTCGCCATGGGAACCGGAGCCCGCGGCGCCTGCGCGGAGAGCACGGGCGGAGAGCGGCCGCCGGACCCTATCCGCCCGGGGGAACCTGGGCCTGGGACTGTTCGCCGGGTCGGAGGTCATCCCTCCCGACCCTCAAACCGTGACCCCGCCGCGTCCCCAGAGCCATCCCAGGCACGAGTCGGAAAGCCCCGCGACGGGCACCGACCGGCAGCCGGGTGCGTGCCCCCCAGCGCCCCAGGCCGCCGGGCAATTCAGGGGGCTCTGGGCGAGGGCAGGTCACACAGCGCCTGGACTGCGGGCGCCGGCCAGGAGTCGCGAGATCTGCACGGGGTGCTGGCACCCCCTGGCGGCGGGCTTGGGGACTGCACCTATGTCTTCGGCGAGGCGCGCATCCTACTGTGAGCCAAGCCACTGCCTTGTTGTTGCGGAAGGAAATGATGAATGTAGGCTTGTGTATCAGTTGAGAAAATCGTAGGAAGTCGCCCCTGGGATGGGAGGTGCCTGTCCTGCGTCCTGTTAACGGAGATCCACTGTGTTGCGCAGGCTGGCCTGGAATTCCTGGGCTCAATCAATCCTCCTGCCTCAGCCTCCGCAGTAGCTGGGACTGCAGGCGCGCGCCACTGTGCCCAGCCAGCGTATCCTTATGAAGCACCCCCCCTCTTTGCTGCGTGCTGGGGATATGGCACTGAAGCAACTGGCAGCATCCTGGCTCTTGGAGCTTACAGATTTTTTTTTTTGCGGGGTGGGGGAGGGGTGAACAAGTATATTGAATTGCATTTGTGACTCTGCTGCTAAGGAGAATTTCTGAGCATGGGTAACTGGAGGACCTGACATCATTTGTGCCTTTAAGTCAGCTAGACCTCGATATAGTTGAGAGAGAGAAGAACATCACACTGTGTGACTTCTGGAGAACTGCAGGAACACTCTCTTGCTTCATCTTTACCTCAGGTTGTTGGTGTGTACAAAGGGCAGTTCACGCGATTGCCTTGTTGGGACCACCACCCATCTATCCCCTTATACTGAGGAACTACCTAGGGCTCCCCAAGAGACTTGTCGCAATGACAGAACCCAGAAATGATGAGAAAGAGGACCTGTGACGTCTTATATCTTAGGATATTCTCCTTGATCATGATGTCATGAACACAGTCACCAACAGGACCCATCTCAGTGGTTTTTATGTAGGACCACCAGTACCTCTTTAAGACAGGAAACAGAGGATGATTGGAATGAAATCTCAAAATCTGTCTTCTTTATTGTGAAACAAAATCTCTCTAAGTTGCTTTGGACCTTGCTATATTCTGAGGCTGGTCTCAAACTTTCCATCCTTCTGCCTCAGCCTCCAGAATTGCTGGGAGCCTCCTGGAAGGGACGTATGTTTACTCCTGATTCTTTTTTTTTTTTTTTTTAAGAGAGAGTGAGAGAATTTTAATATTTATTTTTTAGTTTTCGGCAGACACAACATCTTTGTTTGTATGTGGTGCTGAGGATCAAACCCTGGCCGCACACATGCCAGGCGAGTGCGCTACCCCTTGAGCTACATCCCCAGCCCCTACTCCTGATTCTTATTGCTTTGTACAGATTAGGCACATAACAGGTAGCACTCTGAATGGACGTAAAACCACAAGTGAGCAACACTTGCTAAGGTAGCATCTGCGGCCTCTCCTGTCTAACCTTATAGGAACTTTCCATTTCTCCTTGATAGGACCAGAATGCATGGGCTGGAGGTTATGCCAAATGGATGTTCTGTTTCTCAGTCCTTCCACTTGCCATCTCCTCTCCATCCCAGAATGTAAGCAGAAAAGGGGACAAGACAGTATTCCTCCTGAGACCTCTAACCCAGATGTCTCCCCACTGGTGACCTCCCTGTCCCCCATTCTGACATGTCAGCTCTTCTCCCACCATCAAGGTTTAAGGGATTTCCAGAAGCACCTAACTACAACTCCCAGAATCCTTCTGGATGCACAGGGGGTGGGACTTCCTGGTCCAGCCCCTCCTTACTTCCCCCTGCACTCCAGTACCCTCCCTCTCAGTTCTGACTCCCAAGAGGTGTCAGGTTCAGGTTGTTTCCAGAATCAAACTCTGACCCCTCAGGGTAGCCCTGACTTTCCTCTTCCTGAGGACAAAGGACAGTGCCAACCAGGGTCTGTCCTGGGACCCCTTCTCGGCCATCTTCTGCCTCCTCCTTCAGGAAGTGTGTCCTGATTCGGCTGCCAGTGCTCAGGCTCTCTGGTGGCTGTGTCCCCTAGAGCTTCCTCCAGTGATGGAGCGTCCTGTGTCTGCGCTGAACACCATTAGCCCCTGGTAACCACTGGTGACCACTGAAAAGGTGGCCTGAGAGATGGAGGGGCTGAATTTTAAATTTTATTTTGTGTTTAATTCATTTGAATGTGAACCGCCCCCCCTGCCCGCCCCCCACCACGTCCACTGCTTGGAACCGTCTGGCCCGGGAGACCACCCACCGCTTGGCCAAGGTCCCGGCCACGCATCCCTGTGGGTGGCACATTGATTCATTTTGTTTTTCTTGTCATTCACACTTCTTGAGGGTGAGAGCCAGTGTATTCTTCAGGATTTTCTCTCAACCCAGACCTTTGCCCATGCCGTGTCCCCTGCCAGGAAGACTTCGCCCTCTGCCTGCCTGTCATCTGGTTAATGACTCCATGTCCCTCCGATCTTGGCTGTGACTTCAATTCCTCCCAGAGCCATCCCCGACTACCGAGGCGGGTTAGATGCCAAAGCCTCTGAATCTTGTATGACTCCCCCACCTCCATGAACGCCCGGATCGCACTGGGGTATAATTACCAGTTTTTTCTCTGCCTCGCCTTCTAGAGCATGAGGACGCGGAGGGCAGGGACCAGCAGGATAACTGAAACGGAGCTGACCCTTGATAAATATTCATGGAACTCAGTGTCGAATACATGTTTTCATATGATGGGATCCCGTGGCTGGTGGACAGTAATGATATTAATATACACTGTCATTGATTAAGTCAAATGCTTTGCCTGTGCTGTCTCATTAGATGTCACAACGATTCAGTGAGAGATGATCTATTACAATCTCCTTTTCACAGATGAGGGATCTGAAGCTCAGAGAGGTTAGGTACATTGCCCAGAGTCACACAGCTAGTATCTCAGTCTGGCTTCCCTGGAAAACAGAGCCTGAGGCAAATCTTATGTGCTAATGCTTTATTGGGGATGTGAACCCAGTCCAGTAAGGGACTTCCCTTCTGAAAGGGGACCTGGAGGCAGGGAAGGAGGGAGAGCAAATCTAAGACATGCCAAATGGGGCTGGCCTCAGAATCTCAAGGAACCATCCAGGAGCTCCATCACCCTGGGAATCTCCGCAGGGACAGACCTCCGCAGGGACTATGGGCGATATGTGACCTGCTGGCACCTGCCGTTTCCCGTCTACCTTAGTGGCAGTTAGGGCCAGTCACTCCTCACTTCTGGGTCGGGTCCTGCACCCCTGCTGCCCCAGGGAAGCCACTTCCTTGCTCACCTGAGAAGGGAAGAGAGGACCCCGAGTTCCGTCCCTCACAGGGTGTGGTCCGGGCAGTTTGGACTGCAGCTGGGGTGTTGGGAGCCTGGGCTGGGATTCAGGCCACACCCCTGCAGGCTCAGCTGGCCAAGTGACTGGGCAGCTGACCCAGGCCACCTGCAGGGGGAGGTGAGCCGAGGCTGGAGGGAGTCCAGAGGGACAGAGCCCAGGTCACCTGCAAAGGTGTGTCCATCAAACTGACACCCTAGTAAACACCAGAGCTGGGATCCTGATCCCTCCAAAGGCCATCAGCGAACATTGATTGACAGAAAAACGAATCAATGAGTGAGTGATTGAATGAGGAGGGGGCCAGAGCAACTACCTGGTCCAGGGGCGCCAGGTGGAGAGGCTGAGGCCCAGAGAGGCCGGGCGGCCCTAACTAAGGTCACACCTATAGGGCGCAGCAGGGACCCTAGCGTGTTCCAGACTTTTCTGGTCAGGTTTTCTGCACGGGGCTTGCTGGACCCTCCTGTGTCTGAGAGTGCCCGCCCGTCCATGCTCGTGTTCGCCAGCATTTTTGGAACACCGAGGTGACACCTCTTACTCTCACCTGCCCAGGGCCCACCCCTGTCCTGTCACACCCCCTCAGTCTTCCTCCTGGAGCCCATCCCATCCCCCATCCTCCATCCACGTGGGTGTTTTTTTTTTTTTGAGCGGGTGAGCCTCATGGTATCCCCGCCCTATCCCAGTTCCAAACCCCAACCCCCAATCCTGAGCCCCAGGAACTGGATGAGAACGTCTCATGTCCCTGGCCACGGGATTGATTCAGGGATGGGCACGTGACCCAAGCTTGTCCAATGAGAATTCATCACAACACTTGCAACAGCTGTGCAGAGAGAAGAGCTTCTTTACTCCAGGATTGTGGAGCCTGAGAATGTCAGCCCGAAGCCACCCGAGGCCAACACTGTCAGGAGAATCTGCCTGAGAATGAAGGCAGCTGAGCAGAAAACACAGCTGAGAAGGGCAGACAGACAAAAGGATCTTGAAGACGTGGCTTATCCACCTGGATCCAGCCATGCCTGAAGCTGCACCACAGGATTTCCAGTTATGTGCCGAGTCTTGTGCTGAATGCTGGGGGAGAGATATTTAAGACACAGCGCCTGGCTTTGGGGAGTTCACAGCTTGTAGAGAAGGTCCTGATGGGAATACAGAGAACTATGTCTGCCCTGGCCTGGGGCAGAGCTCTGACAGGTAGTGACCTGTGGCCAGACCCCAGATTGTAAGTCAGTGAATCCCCTTCTCCTGCCCAGGGACCAGCAACCCCCGCCCAACCCCATGGGGCTGACTTTTCCTACTGTACCCAGCCCACCCAGCCCCCAAGTGAAAGGCTGTTGATTTAAGGAACCCCGAGAGAAAACACAAGGTGTGGCCTCCTGCTGGCCAGTCACCTGGGTCCTTGTCTACCTGAAGATTCTCTTCAAAGGCAGCGGGGTCTCTTGCAAGATCAAGACTTAGATCCAAAGCCAGACACGGACCGGGGGGCGGCCACCTCGGAGCCTGGACCTAAGGCGTGGTGGCCGGAGAGAAGGGCCCTCCAGGTGAGGAGGGTGAGGGTGGGAGCCTGCTGGCCCAGCACGCCCAGGCTCCGGGGGTCCTGGAGCCCCAGAGGTCATAGACGGTATTGGGGGCACATGCGTCATTGAGCCTCCACAGGGAAAAACTAACTCCTGTGTTGGGGGACCCTTCACTCCACAAGGGGGAGCTCCGCTGGGCCAGGACACGGCTCAGAGCCACCGCGTCGTTTGTCTCAGGGGGCTCAGCCACCTCGCCAGGAACTGCACCAGAAATCAGCGGCCCCTGGCATCCGAGGAGCAGTGGGAGAATCAGATGGGGGACCCTAGTGGCAGCCCTTCCCAGTCCCGAGGGGTCTAGCTTCAGCTGGACGCCACCTGGACCCCCAGGCTGGGTGGGGTCCTGCTCTTTGCTCTCACCTGCCAGCCTGGCGGGGAGCATGCCCGTGTGGGTCTGTGGGTGGCGGGTTGGCACCAGTGCACAGCCTGGGCTCACGATGACGTCACGCTCAGCCACCTCCCTCCCCTGGCACACCTGCTCCTTGGGCAGGTTCCCAGTGTCACCTGACGCCAGCTCCCTCGTCCCAGGTGCCCAGGACAAAAGTCCAGGGTCTGCCTGGCCTCCCAGCTTCCTCTACCACACCCCAGCTCCCCCTGGGCAGCCCTGGCCACGGCCTTCCCCCTACCTGTTGCCAAGTCGCAGCCCTGGCTGAAGACCCTCAGCTCCCTGCGGTGACCCCTCTCCCTGTTCCTCACCCAGGGCCAGAGAGGTTCCCCGCCTGCTTGAGACCACCGGAGACTCCCCGGCTGCTCAGAAGTCAAAAGCCAAAGCCCTGTTGTTGTGACAAGCCCACCATGCTCCCTCCTCTCCTCCCCGCCACATGGGCCTCGCTGCCTCATTAGACCCTTGCACACCCCAGGACTCTTGCACCTGCTCCTCCAGAGGCCAAAGCCTTCACCACCCCTGACCAGGTGGCTCCTCCTTCACCCACTCCAGGTCCTTGCTCAAAGGTCACCTTCTCCTGAGGTTTCCCGTGACCATCCCGTCCCTTCCAGGCTTCGCTTTTCTTGTGGTTCTTATTCAGATCAAGCGTCTCCTTGGTATCTCGATCCCCCCGAGCTGTAAGGGCCCCCAGAGGGGCTGCCTGTCTTCCCCCTGCTGCTGAACCCCCCGCACCTGGAACCGTCCCTGGAACACGGCGGAGTCGAAATGTTGGTTGGGTGGATGGCCACATGGACATGTTCTGTTACCCTGTTTGTCTGTCTTTCCCACCAAACTCTAAACTCCTTGAGGCGAAGGACTCTGCCCTGTTTGCCATTGTAATCTAGGGGTGGGGGGCGGGGGCCACTTTGGGGGGCACGTGGACGTTGAAGGAATGATCCCAACCTTCGATTCACGGAGAGGGACATGGAGGCTGGGGGCAGAGAGACTCCAGGCCTCCCAATTCTGCTCCCGAGACTCCTGTGGCCGGCTGTCCCTCCTGGACCACCTGTGTGCTCCCAATGACAGCAGGTGGCAGAGACGTCCTGCCCTGACCCTGAGCAGTCCCGGGAAGCCGCCTGTAAGATGGAGTTGATGCAACCAGCAGCGACCTCATGGGGTGGCCGGGAGGCTTACAGGAAGGGATGCACTGGAAGTGTTGGGTCCGGGCCAGGACAGAGGGACAAAGCGGCCAGTCTCTCCCAAGCCTCCCTTGGGTGCCCCCCAGCTCCGTGGAGCCTGCCTGGATGTGCTTTGGGGCCGTAGCGCCTCATTTAGCTTTCTGGCACCTGTTCTGTCGGAGTGACTTCCCCAGGTGACACTGGCATTGTTTGGGGAACGGAGCTCCTTTCAAGGTCAGAAACACCCTGCGAGCTCCTGGTGCAGCCAGGGAGAGGCAGCTCCCTGCCAGTCCCGCCGCTCTCTCGGCTCCCTGGCTGGAATCCAGCCCTGGGACCCTGCCGAGGCCGGAGAGGCTACTTTGGGAGGACGGGGGCTGGGAGGGGGCCTCCATCCTCAGGGGGCCGCATCTTGCAGGTTATGGAGCCAGGAGTCTAATCCTGGACTAAAAAGCCCTTGAACCTGACCCTGAGCTGCCCGCCTGGGCTTGTCTCTGCCCGTCCCCTACACAATGCAGTCTGTCCCCTGCAATATTACAGCCACCTGCACCCCCTTTGCGACAGGCTGGCAGAGTGCCCCCCACTCCTGGACTCCGCCTCGGTTGTGATTTGGGGGTGAAGGGACTCTGGACCAGCTTGCTGGTTTAATTGCTGTTGGAAAACCAGAGTCGTGCCCTCCATGATTCGACGGGTCCCCAAAGTCCCCGTATTGGAAGCTGAATTGTTCATGGTCTTTGGAGGTGGGACTTTGGGAAGATCATGGGGGTTAAACGAGGTATGACATTTAACCTGTAATGGCATCTGTGGCTCTCTAAGGCCAGGAGGAAGGACGAAGCCAGCGTGCTTGTCCCTCCGGGAGGGACTCTGCCATGCTGGGGCGCAGTGAGAAGGCCCCCACCAGGTGGCGCCCCACGCTCTTGGCCTCCCAGAGTCCAGACTCCAGGAAGCCCTCCAGGAGGCTGGGAGGAGGGAGCCAAGGGGCAGGAGGCGGCTGGGACCCCAGGCATCGTGTGGCCCTCTGGGTGGAGGCAGACCCTCTGACCGAGAGGGAAGGAGAGAAGGATGGGAGGACAGAGGACAGACACACGGGAGGGACTGTGCCCTGCAGAAGTGGCGCGGGCAGGGTCCCCTCTGCCTGGGCTCTGACCCCCCTCCTGGACTCCGCGATTCCTCTTCCAGATGCGTCAGGGCCGAGCCCCGGACCCCTGCAGCTCTTGGTGTCCCCCATCCCCCGCTGGATGGCCAGGCTGGAGGGGGCTGCTGAACCGGGCTCGGGGCACAGGCCAGGTGCCGGGCTGGAGGGCACCTTGTCCCTGCCGTCTCCACCATTAACCTTGCCCTGGCTCCCAGGTGACCAGTGCCGGATGGTGGGCAGCGTGTGGGCAGCCCTGGGGCTCTCCCTCAGCTGCATCTCAGCCCTTGGCCTCGTCTCCCGGCCTGGTTCCAGGCCCCCACCTTCCCCTACTGCTCCTGGCCTCAGGGTGACAGCTGGAACCAGAGCTGAATGACCTTCACATCCTTGGAGGACATTCCTGAGGTGGCCTCCCCAGTTCCTTGGGCCCTCGGGGACACAGCAACTCATCAGGACAGAGAACGGACTCCAGTGAGGTGGGGTGTGAGGGTCCTTTGTTATCACCCAGACGTCCCTGCAACTATGAAGACACCATTAGGTGTACCAGGTTCTTAAACCTGGTGGCCCTTCAGAGACACCTGCAGAACTTAACAAAACTGCCAAGTCCTGGGGTCCACCTGGACCTCTGGCTCTGCAGGTGTGGGGTGGGTCTGGCTATATTTTAGCAAACACCCAGGATGATTTCAAAGGCAGCAGCCAGCCAGGTGTGGTGGCGCAGGCCTGTCATCCCAGCAGCATAGGAGGCTGAGTTGGGAGGATTGCAAGTTCAAAGCCAGCCTCAGCAACTTAGTGAGGACTTAAGCAACTTAGCAAGAACCTGTCTTCAAATAAAAATTAAAAAGAGCTGGGGATGTGGCTCAGCGGGTAAGTGCCCCAGAGTTCAATTCCCGGAACCCAGAACAAAACCAAACCAAAGCCAGCTCCAGGACACTACAGTGCCATCTGCTGGAAGTTCACTGTCATGAATTTTGCAAATCCAAGATGATCCCAGATTCACCTAGAGTTGTGCAGTGTACAACCTGCACGCTCCTACTTGGTTACCCTCTAAGCTCTGCTAAGTTTGAAAATGAAAGCTGAGATGTGGACGTCCTTGTGTTGCTGCTCATTACCCAAACCAGCAACAGAGCAAATGGGTGCCCTGTCTGGCACCTCTAGACTGACCACAAAGGAGACGTTACAGGTGCCTCTCCCGGGGATGCCGATGTGCAGGGTAGTGAGCGCTTGATGATACAGGCCGGGAGGTGGTCGGTGGGTCTGGATCTCAGTTCTGGCTCCACCACTGAATTATCTGTGGCCTGAGCCAAATCTCTCCCGGGGCCTCCGGCTGTTTGTAGAAACAGGACATAGTGGACAGAACTCTTGGGGATGTTTTGAGGACACAGTGGCTGGTCAAGAAGCAAATGGAGGAGTGTCCGATGCCCGTCCTGACCCTTCCTCTGCCCTCTTCCTGGCAGGCTGCAGCTGTGATGCTCCTGGGAGGCTGGCTCCCGCTGGCCTCCAGTGCGGGCCTCCTCCTGTCCTGGGCACTGGCCTCCAAAGACTGTGTCCGAGGAGGGGCGGTGGACTGATGCCAGGGCTACAGGCCGTGGCAGGGAAGCCACTGGTCATCCCAAGCCCTCGAGACGCATTTGCCGAATGAGTGAATGAATGAGCTGTGAGCAGCGTCTGGTCTCCTAAGACAGATGGCAGAGTTAAGCCCTAGGATTGTGACCTATTCTTGGTCCTTAAGCAAGCTGGAAATTGCTGGGGGTCCGGGATGATGGCATCTTGATGCAGCCTACTCCTGCCCTGAGCCAACCCAGTTCTTTGATTCTCTCTTATCCATTTGTGTCCTCTGTACCTGGGTGACCCTACACAGTTGGGGAGGTTGTGCACTGCACAATCATACCCGGCTAAGAGCTGAGAGATGCTGACCTCCAGCTGCTGCCCCACTTGCTAAGCCGTAGACACACAAGACTGCACCTGCGGAGGGGGTTGCTTTTCTGATATTCACACGCAGCCCCTGGATGCACCAGCCCATCTTGACTGCAGCTCTCAGTCCAGTAACTCTCCACCGTGGGTGAAGGTGACCAGCACCCGGCAGGTCTCCCTGCTGCCCGACCCCACCCCCCGCCCCCAGTCGGTCTGCCGCACACTGGACAAACAGGTCCTGCTGAAAGTGAAATGGGATCCCGCCAGGCAGGCTGGCTCCTCCACTCTCTGGTGGCTTCCTGTCACAGAGTGAAATCCAAACTCCGGGTCCAGCCTCTGGGGCTCCCCAGACCCAGGCCTCCCCTCTCCACCGCCTCATCTTTCCCTCCTGTGCCGGGCTCCACTCCAACCCACTGTCCTTTGCTCCTGTCCCTCCTGCTTGTCCCTCTGCCTGCAACCCGGTTTCCCCAGATCTTGCCACACCCCGCTCCCCCTGTCTGCTCGGACGCCCTGCCTCCCTGACCTCTGGCAGCTTCTCTCTCCTGCGCTTCGTCCTCCCCGGCTTTAGACCTTCACCCACTTACTTGCTTATCTGAAATCCCTTCCCCGTCTCCCAGATCACTGTCCGTCTTTATCCACTTGCTCCTGAGAGGGCAAGGACGTAGCCATCTGCCTCCACGTCCCTGTCGCCCACAAGGTGCCTCACTTATGATAAATGTCCTACCTTCCAAATATTTGTTCAGTCACTGGATGAAGACGCAACTTTTGTCCTCAGCTTTCAGGGGGAGCAGCATCTGGCAGTTACAATGTATCTTAGTCTGTTTTGTGGTACTGTCAGGAAATACCCGAGGGTGGTAACATTATAAAGAAAAAGTGGTGGGTTTTTTGGTTTTTTTTTTAATCTTAATAGTTCTAGAAGCTCCAGGTCAAGGGGCTGCATAGGGTGGTGGCCTTCTTGCTGGCTGTGTCCTGAGTCAGTGCAGGGCATCGTATGGTGGGAGACGGGAGTGTCCATGTTTGTCCTCTGGTCTCTCCTCCTCCTCTTACTCACACCTGGAGGCCCAGCCTGATGAACTTTCTACTCTGGATCACCTCCCCAGAGCCCCCCGCTCCACACATCTCCAGGGTAGGTGGGCACCCCCCACTCACGGTGGGTGTTAGACGTGACACGGGAGCCGTGGGGAGGCACGGACTCCATACCCAACTGCGGTGCAGCCCCAAGACGTGTGATGCCGTGGGACCCGGGATGGCAGGAGCTCCGGCGGGGGGGGGGGGGCACCAGGGCATCTGGTGACTGCAGCCTCAGGGGTGAAGGCTGGAGACCCAAGCTGCGAAGGGACGGTGGCTGGGGGTGGCAGGGGTGGGGACATGCAGAGTCTCTTGGAGGCCCTCCTCCAGCTCACGTCATTTCTGTCACTAGTGTCACCACGGCACGTCCAGCGGCTTCTTAGGCTGTTAGCTGGTTGTCTTCATGGACCTCTATTCAGTTTGAAGGGAGATGGCAGGGGGGGCTTCAGTCATTCCTGGGAACCTGTGACTCCAGCGTCTCCACAGTGGACACTGCCATGAGGGCCGGGCTGGGCCGCGCTGGCCATGACCTGTTATTCTCGTCCCTGCTGTTTGTTAGCAGAGTGCAGCTTCAGCAGACTTAAAAACGACACAACATTTTTATAACAGTAGGTTATACTTAATATAAATTTAACCTTTTTATGATTATTTTTGGTCCTGGGGATTGAACCTGGGGCACTCAACCATGGACCACATCCACCGCCTGCTTTTTTTTTTTTTTTTTTAATTTTCATTGTTAGACAAGGTTCAAGGCTGGCCTTGAACTCCTGATCCTCCTGCCTCAGCCTCCCGAGCTGCTGGGATCACTGGCGTGGGCCACTGCACCTGACCCTGTTGACCCTTTTTAAGGGGACAGCTCAGGTGATGATCAATATATTCAAAATGTCTGCAGCGTCGCCACCACCCATCCTCAGGGTTCTTTTCATTTGTAAAATGACAACTCTGTACCCACTGAACAGTAACTCCCATTCCTCTCCCCGCCAGGCCCTGGCACCCCCTGTGCCTTCGATTGCGGTGAACTTGACCCCTCTTCCTCGTGCGAAGGGTCTTACTAGTTCTCCTTTCCCTTCGGCTTACCTCACATGGCCTGATATCCCTCATCCAGGTTCTCGTTTAGGTCAGAATTTCCTTCTATCGTAAGGCTCAGTAATGTCCACAGCTCTAAATACACACACGCTTCAAAACAACAAGTCGTACCTAACAAATATATTCTGAGCCGGATGTGGTGGTTCACAACTGTCATCCCAACCACTCGGGAGGCTGAGGCAGGAGGGCCTCAAGTTGGAGGCCAGCCTCTGGAAATTAGTGAGGGGCTAAGGAACTTAGTGAAACCCTTTCTCACAAGAAAAAACAAATGAAACAGGCTGTGGGTGGCCCAGTGGCTAAGCACCCCTGGGTTCCATGCCTAGTACCAAAAAAAATGTATAAAAATACATATATATTTGTAAATTTAAAATGAACGCATCTTGGGGCTGGGGATGTGGCTCAAGCGGTAGCGTGCTCGCCTGGCATGCGTGCAGCCTGGGTTAGATCCTCAGCACCACATACAAAGATGTTGTGCCCACCGATAACTAAAATAAAGTATTAAAATTCTCTCTCTCTCTTCTCTCTCTCTCTCTACCTCTTAAAAAAAAATGAACGCATCAACCGTTCCTTCGCACCGGCACACCCTTCCGCTTGTCTGTTCATCTGCGTTGGAGCCGGGGCTGTGCCACATCAGCTGCGGGAACACGGTGCCCGACTTGGGCGCTCAGCCAGAAGGGGGGGTGGCTGATCCCATGGCCACCCCTAGAGCCTTCTGGGGAGGAGCTATGGTCCTCGCAGCAGCTGCACCACCCGCTCCCACCCGCCGTGCGCAGGTCCCCATGTCCCCCTTGCCACACTCACTTTCTGGGTTTTTGATAGTCACCATCCAAATGTGTGTCGGGGACTCTCAGTGTGGCATTGATTTTCATTTCTCTTGTGACAAGTCAGGTCCCTCCAACAGGCTCTGATGGTGAGCGCACGGATGGGGGGGTGGGGGTGGATGAGCTGATGTATGGACGGATAGATGGGTGGGTGGATGCATGGATGGTTGGAGGATGGGGTGGAGGGATGGCTGGGACAGTTGGTGTGACATGCAGAGAGGTGGATGGCTGAGTGAATGCCTCCGTGTAGAGGGGTGGGGAGGACGAGCTGAGTAGAATGTGCTTGGATGGATGATAACAGGTGGACGGGGGGTTGAATGGTGGGTGGACGGCTCGTGGATGTCGAGGCCTGGGGAAGGCCAGCCCAGTGCCCTCCCACCTTCCGTCTCTAGCCCACCATCCAGCCTGGCCTCCCCGTTAGCCAAAGCAGTCTGCGAGGCCCCCTCCATGCACCGTGGTGGGCAGTGCCAGCTGGGTGGGGCTATGTCACTGCCATCCTCAATGCAATCCTGGCCAGCCTCCTGCCCATCATCGGGTGGCCCTGAATGACCAAGGTCCAGGGGAATGCCATCTTCTCCAGTGACACTGAGAAAATTATCCTTGTGCCAGAAGTAAGCAAATAAAAATCTTCCAGGAAGAACAGAAAGAGTCTACTCTACAGTTGGATGAAATCATGAATCCATGTTCAAGTTCAGATCCCACCTCTGCTTCTTCCTTGCTGTGTGACCCCAGGCAAGCCACTTTACCTCTCCGGACCTATTTATTCTTCTGTAAAATGAAGGGTTGTTATGACAGTTAACTCAAGATCTTCAATGTAAATAAAGTATTTTGGCACACAGAGTTCCTTTCCTCCCTTCCCAATCTCAGGGAAGTATCTGATTGGTCACCACCGCATCCCATACCCACAGTGCGGATGGGTGTGCCAGCAGCCTCACTTACAGAGCTAGAGTTAGAGCAGTTGCTGGTACTGGAATGGGGGAAGGCTGCTGGGCATCCCATGGCCAGCTTGCTCTTTAATGGAGGTTTTATTTATTAAGATCATTTCATAGATATGAAAATTGTCAGAGAGAGAAAGTCATTTGCCCAATGCCACACAGCTGATCAATGGCAGAGCTGGGATTTGAATCCAAATCCGACAGACTATTGGGGAGGTAAAAGACCACCCGGGTTTGCTCCCTCTGCCCCCACCCACTCAGCTGGCATTGATAGATCACAGGAAAAAGCAGCTCGTGTTTATCTTCCAGAAGGAACAGTAAAGATGACCCATAACTTCTGCTTTGAAAAAAATGGAATAAATAGAAAAACCTAGGCAGCCACAGAGTAGTGTTCCACGGGACTGGGAGGCCAGCAGGACATTTCCAATGTCATTATGATCACTTGATGCCAATTGCCCTGCCGTGCAAACCCAAGCACGTCACAGCACAAATAGCAGCAAGCAGCTGGGTGCGGTGGTGCCCACCTGTCATCCCAGGCAGGGGAGGCTGAGGCAGGAGGATGGATTTCAAAGCCAGCCTCAGCCACAGTGAGGCCCTAAGCAACTCAGTGAGACCCTGTCTCTCAATAAAATGCAAAATAGGGCTGGGATGGGGCTCAGTGGTCAAGGGTCCCTGAGTTCAATCCCTGGTACCCCCCCAATCCCCAAAAAAAGCCGTAAGGGGTGCCACCAAGTAGAAGCCCCTCAATCCTCAGGTCACCCACTCAAGCTTGGGGTGGGCCACCTGGTCTCTGTGCACCTCACAATGGCTCCCAAGGTCCTTAACTGTTTCTCTGTGAACTGTTTCAGCAATGCCAAAGGGAAGGAGTCCCCAGCCCTTAAGCAAAGCCATTTACAGAGACTCTGTTTTACTTGGCAACAGGCAGAGGGATCCTTCTTGATTGTTTTCTCTCCAGCAAAACAAGGTGTCCTTTTTTTTTTGGCAAGGAGGATAGCACTACAGAGCCGTGGTGCCCACAAGGGGAGAAAGGAGCGGGCGGGGGAGGGCCGGGACTGCGTGGTTCTGCTGTGGCTGGCCGGCTGGCACTTCCAGGTGAGTCAGCTGTGCCTCTGTCCCGGGCGGAGTTCTCCATGTTCCCAGAGGCTTGAAAGCCAAGAGGACGCCGTAGACCAGACCCACAGGCAGCTGCTGCTCAGGACCTGCGGCCTCAGCGCACTGTTGGCGCTTCTGCATGGCACAGCCCAAGGGGGCTGGGGCGTACCCGGAACCGCTCCCCTCCTGGAGCCGCAGCCTCTTATCTTGCCAAGACCCATCTGGGAACCCGGGGTGGACGGGAGGAGCAGGGGAAAGATGGCCTCCCAGCTGGAACCCACTGCCACCGCTGCCGAGCAGGCCTGGGATGCTGGATCTTCACTCTCCGAGAGGCGGACAGTTGATTCTCCTTGAAGTCTTTGAAGGAGGGAGGACGGCTGGGGGCTGGCGTGTTCTCCACACCTCTCAAGTCCTTAAATGACCTTTTCTTAACTGAATCTTAAATGTCTCCTGAAGGTCCATGTGCTCTGGGCTTGGTCCCCAGCTGGGATAGCTAAGGGAGGTGGTGGGACCTTGAAGAGGTGGGGCCTGGTGGGAGGGAGTTAAGTCACTGGGATGAATGTCCTTGCAGGGGATCCTTAGAACCCTAGGCTCTTCCTCTGTTTCACTTCCTAGCCTCGAGGTGAGCAGTTTTGTTCCACCACGTGCTTCTGCCATGATGCGCTGCCCCCAGCCCCAGATGTGGAAGGGCAATCATGGACCTGATGATCCAAACTGAGCCCAAGTAAAACTTTTCTCTTTTTAAGTTGGTTATCTTAGGTGTGTCTTACAGGGACAAGATGTTCACTAACAGGCTTTGCACCCAAAACCTCTGGTAGGGAGTAGTGAGTGCTTTGATAACATCATCAGACATCACAGCTATCCTCCTTTTGTGGAACTCATCCTGGTTTTGCATGTTTCAAGTTTAAAAAGTATGTTGATTTAAAGAAAGCCATTAGGATATGGGGACATGGGCGGTCCACAGACACAATCAAGATCATCTAGGTGGATGGCAGGGACCGAGCTTGGGAGATGCTGTCATGAAACATGGTTAGGCTGGACGTGGTGGCACACACTGTAATCCCAGCTACTTGGGAGGCTGAGACAGGAGGATGGCAAATTTGAGGCCAATCTGGACAATTTAGCAAAAGTCTGTCTGAAAAGACTTCTGTTTTCTTTCTTTAAAGGGTTGGGATCCTGTCTCAGTGATAGGGTGCTGGCGTAGTCCCAACACCACAGAAACCAGAACCAAAACCAAAACACAGGGAGAAGACTTGATTGGTCTAACGCTGGCCAAACCTCAGAGTGCGTGTGAGAGGGAAGGACGTTTCTGCCACCTCCTCCTATGGCCCTGAGCCCCTTGCCTCCCTTCCCCTGGGCAGAGAGAAGGGAGGAGGTCCCCAGAACCGCCCCAGTAAGGGAATCAACACCACTCTCACCCCATGGGGTCATGGCCATGTGCCTCACCATCCACATCTAGGCAAAGTTCAAATCCACGTGTGTAGGGAAGTCTCTACAAAGCAAACAATACCTTAGGGTTTTTTTTTTTTTTTTGTAACAAGGATTGAACCCAGGGGTGCTTAACCACTGAGCCCCATCCCCAGCCCTTTTTATTTCTATATGGAGACAGGGTCTCACTGAGTTGTTAAGGGCCTTTCTAAGTTGCTAAGGCTGGCTTTGAACTTGCAATCCTCCTGCCTCAGCCTGCCGAGCCCCTGGGATGATAGGCGTGGGCCACTGCACCTGGCTCTGAGGAATTATTTTTACCCAGAAAGTCCACCATCAGTTTCCCATGGCCAGGCGTCTGTGAACAGCGCCCAGCACCTCATGGGTCACCCCCGAGGAGAGCCACACAGGCTGAGCCAGGGCTGAAGTCAGAGGTGAGACTGGTGACCCCACAGGACAGTGGACCTTTAGGGCTACTGCCTTCTGAGGCCTCTCGTCCTCCCTACCTCAGGAGGGAGAATAGCTTCCAACCAGGACAGCCCCGGCTGAGCTGGCCAGTGCCACCTACTGCCAGGTGGCTTCATATCTGCTTCTCCTGGGAATCTCCAAGGACGTGGCGGGGGTGCACCCAGGACCGGGGCTTCTCCAGACTCCTCCGCTCTGCCGGCTTCTTCGTGAGTCTCTCGTTCTGCACTGACCCCCCGAGTGTTGCTGTGCTCCTTGGAGGAGTCAGGCTTTGTTTCTGCAAGTGACATCAAGCCCAGGTCTCGAGGCCCGTGGTGATGGAGACACACGAGGAGCCCACTGCCTGAGACCAGGGCCTGCAGGACAGCTGCGAGGAGAGGGCATCAGGGATGCCGGGCAAGGCAGGGTCAGGGTCTGTGGGGTCACTGGAGGTGGGCGAGGAATCACTCAGCAGCGGGGACACCAAGGTGGTGACTTGGGGAAAGGGCCTGTGTCTAATGGCTCACCATGTGGGCCTTGGTACCCATGGGCGACTGATTCCAGGACCCTGTGGGCACCCAAATCCCAGGCTGCTCAAGTCTCCATGTAAAGTGGGCAGCGTGGGCAGGTAGCTGTGCGTGTGACAGTACATGTCACCTAAGTCCTGAGGCCGGGTTTACAACACAGGGTGTGCCCTCCTAACGCTGTGGGAATGGGTGCTGCGCCGTGCTGCTCGGGGAATGGGGACCAGGAAGGTCCTGATGTGCTCAGAGCAGAGCAGGGTTGGTTTCCTTTTGCCAGTGTTTAACTTCCTGTCCGAGGTTGGCTGAATCTGCAGAAGTGGCCCCCCGAGAGCTGATGGCATGTTCCTGCCGGTGCCCACGCTCCTTTCCAATGTCGCTTTTCAAAGCCGCCCATGAGCAGCAGAGTCTGCGTCTCCACCTTCGCATCTGAACTCTGCCCAGAATGTGGCACAAATGACTTTGTGCCAGCGAAGCCCAGGGGTGGCCTTCCACTTGCCCTCTGGGAACCTGCCATCAGGGCCTGCGGAAGAGCCTAGCTGGCCTGCTAGAGGAGGACGTGTGGCCCAGCTCCCCCTGCCCGAGCCACCAGCCAGCCAACTGTCAGCAGTGTTTGATTCTCTGGCCATCAGCTGACCACAGACGCATGAAGAAGTCCAGCCAAGATCAGAAGGCCTCCCTGGCTGGACCCACAGACCCAGAGCTACATAAAAGGCTACCCGGAACCACCACGTTTCAGGTATTGTCACGCAGCACTGCTGGGGGGACTGCTAGCTGATATACGAGGCCAGAAGTGCTTCACCTGAATCGACCTTTCCAGAGAAAACCCAGCAGCTCCCCATGTGTGCAGGGTGCAAGGGCACAGTATGGAAACCATCGGATTAAAAAAATTTCTCCAAACAAAAGAAAACATAATGCAGACTTATGTTTCTCTGCTCATATATATTTTCTCTCCACATATAGACGCAATTCTCCAGTAAACATTTACAAGATATGTGGCCAACACTGGGGAAAGGAAAAGAGGGCAGCTCACAGACAGGGTCTCTCACGTTCAGCTCCAGGACACACAGACACAGACACAGACACACACAACCAACGAAGTCTGAATGAGAGCAGGTAAACTGTGTAAATATAAAGTCACTCCAAACTACAACCACAGACACTCGGCGCGCCACAGGGGAGGCTGAGGAGAGATCTTGTGCTGTACTTTGAGACTTTCTGATAAAAAAATAAATAGGACTCGGGAGGCCTGGGGCCTGGGCTGTGCTCAGTACCATCCCCCGTAGAGAACTGCTGAGTGGCAAAGTGCACTTCTGTCCCACAGGCCCCTCTGTCTTGGGAAGCTGGGGACCAGGCTGTCCCCTCCCCTTCCTGCTACGGTGGGGCAGAGCAGGAGCTGGGTGGGGCGAAGGTGACTCCCATGGGACTCTCCTCAGGCAGCAGCCAGGCCTCTCTCCATCCTGTCCCCTTGGGGGAGGGCGGAGGACAGATGCAGCAGGAGGAAGGGAGGCAGGAGAGACTCTCCCCACCTGGTTGCAGCCTCTCAGATCTTAAATCCACTTCCCCACTTCCTCCCATCCCAAGCTGCAGGTGGCCCTTGGTGACCCCAGAGGCAGCAGGTCTAGTGGGAGGAGCTTCCGCCCAGCCTCCTGCTCTCTGGCCTGTCCAGGTCTGTTCTTTGATGGGAGAGCTGGCCGGCTGCTCTGCCTGAGGGCAGGGGCAGGTGCTGAAGCTCGTGGTCTGTAGACTGTGTCCCTGATGGGCAGGTGCACAGGGGACTCTTCCTGGACCCAGCCATGGCCCTGGGCCCCGCTTATCAGCAGATGCTCCCCAAGGACAACAGAAGCCAGCCCTGCCCTGGCCAATCCCGTCTCATTTCCCTCCTTTGTCCTGAGTGAACAAAGCGCTTAGGGAAAGGTCGGCCCCCTGAATGAGGCTCTCCCCATAGGCCTCTGCGCACCAGGCCCAGTGAGGTCTCCCCCAGGAAGAGGCACTGGGAGGGGACCCCGTCCGGCCTTGAGGTGCACAGAGCCCTGCAGAGCCTGGACCTGGCGCCCACAGAAGTCCTCAGACTCCAGCTACTTGCAGGAAGATGCTTTTCTTGAAAAGAAGAAAAGAAGTGTCTCCTGGCATCACGTCGAGGAGGGAAAACAAGCTAATGCAGCAGAGCAGCCCCAGAGTCCAGGGGAGCCTGGGAAGGACCCCGTGCGCCCTTTCTCTTGGGGGAGGCCTCAGGACAGAGGATGGCTTGGCAAAACAGAGAGGCAGGGGAGACATCTCAAATGGGGACAATTCTGCCCTGCAGGGGACATCCAGGGATGTTCTGGACATTTGGGATTGTCACAACAGGCATGAGGTGGGGACAGAGCTCCTGGCATCTGGGTGGAAGCCAAGGAGGCCGCTCAGCATCCTAGATGTGTGGGGCAGCCCGCCACCAGGAACCCGCGGACCTCCAAGGCAGCGCTGCGGGAGGGGCCCCCGTAGGCCAGCCTTCCAGCATGTTCTTGGATGTCTCCAAAGGCCGCTTTGAGGGCACAGTGGGAGCCCCAGAGACCTCTCCAGACCTCTTCTGGACAGATGAGGAAGGGTTGGGGGACAGACAGGGCAGAGGGAAGAGGCCTCCTCTGTCCATCTGCAGCCAGACCCGTGGCGGAGGCCTCAGGCTTGGTCAATCTTTGGTCAAACAGGAAAACGTAAGGCTGGACTGACCTGGACCCACCTGCCCGCGGCCAAAGCAGGGCCCTTTCTCTGGGCACAGGAGCCACATTCATGAGCAGACTCCAGGGCGGGCGCCCAGGCCGGGCTCACCAGAGGAAAGGAGGGTGGGAGAAGGGCGGGTACGGGTGGCGCCCTCTACTTGTTCTCAATCAGGGTCTGCACCTTGTACACGAGGTCCCGGGCCAGCTGCAGCACCTGCCGGGTGTTGTGTCGCTCGGCCATTTCTGAAAGAGCAGAAGGCGTGCTCAGGAGCTGCTTCCTGCCCCCTCAGGGACAGCCCCTTCACACAGACCGTGCGGGCAGAGACCCTGGGCAGGGCCTGCACCGCCTGCCTCAGTTCCCTCATCTGGGGAGGTCACAGGGCCATCGCTCCAGGTTGCCATGGAGACAAAATGAGGCAGTGTTGGTCCACAGCGTGTGCTGGGAAAAGTGTTCGTCTGTCCACCCCGGTCCCACAGAGAGACGACAGGGAACCTTCAAGAAAAGAGCACTCACGGGCACAAGATTGGTGCTTCCGATGACATGGAGATGAAGGAAGCAACGGAGGGAGGGATGGAGGGACAGAGGGACGGAAGGACAGAGGGAGGAAGGGGGCATGGTGGGGAGGGAGGGAGAAAAAGAGAAGAAAAATGTTTTTTTCCTGAGGTCAGATCTTCAAACCTCTAAACAGAGTGGACATTTGCCATGGAGGAACCATTTATGGGGCAAAGAGAAAAGCACCAAGACTGCAGTTCCCAAACCGGGGGCCGAGGTACCCCAGGACTGCATAGTGAACTGCATTGTGGGACAGTCAGCCCCAGACACACTGCGGTCCACTGAGCACCACATCGCCCGTCCACTTGTGGGTTGTTAGCAGCTGCTGTGATAAAAAGCAAGTACTATGTGAGGAACAGGAAATAAGGGGGCGGAGTCGTAGCTGGAGCGGAGGCTGGTGAGGCGACGGTGGGTCCCATAGGCGCACATAGCCCTGGAACTGACTTACTTAAGAATGAAATAGAAAAGATTTTTCTTTCAATTTACATGCATCCCCCCCAATGGCTACTGTGTTATTAGGACATGGAAACTCATTAAGTGACTTGGCCCAAGCTGCTTACTAAATGGAACTTTTGGCCTGAGATGCTGTGATGACAATGTCATGGAAATGCTGGGCAGAGACCCTGGGTGGCCCTGAGCCGAGGGGCCTGGGAGCCTCGACACCAAGATACGAATTGATTTTCTTTCTCTATCACATCTTCAAATGGAAAATAAGACACCCAAGAACAAGGAATGGTCCAGTAAGTTAGAGGACAGTCACCGGGGTGTACTCTGTGGTGGTAACAAAGGGTTATATGTGAAAGCTTTTTGAACTGTTAATAGAAAAACGAAATGGAACTAGTAACAACATGAATACACTGTGGTTCCTATTGGGAAGGAGCACAGTAGGGACAAGCCAGATGAGACCCAAGGAAGTCTGCAGCTGTGTAAGCAATGTGAAGTTCTCGGTCTTGACAGATGGATCAGAATCAGGCAAAACTGGGCAAAACCTATCACCAACTCTACATACTTTCTCTGCAACATGTTTGTGAATCTGAAAGAGTTCTAAATGCCAAATGAATGAATAAAATCCAAAATTATTCCAAAATTAAAAGTTTACATTAAAAAAAAAACCGATTATGTTTCCAAGGTGAGATCATAGGTGGTTATTTTTCCCCCTTAATTTAAGAGGGGGTGGAGTCGTAGCTGGAGCTACTCCTTCCTTCCTTCCTTCCTTCCTTCCTTTCCTTCCTTTCCTTCCTTTCCTTCCTTTCCTTCCTTTCCTTCCTTTCCTTCCTTTCCTTCCTTTCCTTCCTTTCCTTCCTTTCCTTCCTTTCCTTCCTTTCCTTCCTTCCTTCCTTCCTTCCTTCCTTCCTCCTTCCTTCCTCCCTCCCTCCCTCCCTCCCTCCCTCCCTTCCTTCCCTTGAACTCTCAGGGCCTCATGCATGCTAAGCTGCATGGTGATAACAGTAGCAATGGCTTCATTTTTCAGGCCCCTCCATGGGCCAGGGACCATGTGATGAGACTTATCCATCGTCTCCTTTAATCCTCAAGGTCTCCCTGTGTCAGAGGAGATGTTAGCACCATTTTATCCCTGAAGAATCTGAGGCCCACAGACGTGAAATCACTTGGACAAGGTCACACAGCTCTCAAGGGGCAGAGCTGGAATCAAATCCCTGCACGTGTCTGGTTTCAAAGGCTGTATCTGGTTCATGCCATGCAGCTGCCCCCTTGTTCCTCATTTCCTGTACATGGCAGCCCCCCATTTCACAGATGAGGCAGTGGATGTTTAGACAGGGGGAAGGGCCTCGCCCAGGGTACAGCTGGTCACTGGCAGAGCCGGGCTTTACCCTTGAGCCTGATTTGAACACTCAGGAACCTCTGCCAGGTCCTTGAGAAAAATGCGACCTCAGCATTACAAGATGTCAACCCATCCTTTGGGACATCCCCTGTAAAAATGTGCACAACTCCCTTGGCCCCTCCCTCTGGACAACCCCACCCCCGACATGACCCCGCCACAGGGTACCATTGAAGAACTTGATGATGTCCGTGAAGTCCATGTTGTTCTCCAGGATGATGTCGCGGTAGACTTCCACCAGAGCCAGCGCGATGAACAGGACGTAGTGGGCGGACGAGACGTGTTTGGCTGCCCAGATGGTCTCCCAGACGGCGAAGACGTCATCATAGATGAGTTCTGCAGGGACATCAACATGCATACTCATGACAGGTCAGCCACGAGCTCACAGGGCTGCCCTTCCTGCCGAGGATCCGGGGCCAGCTGGGCTTGGGCCTGTGTCCTGGCTGTGAGGCAGGACGTGGAGCCCACAACCCTGTCATTTGACCCTGGGAAGCCTCAGTTTCCCCCATCAGTAGAACAGCTTCCTGCGTTTCTTCCAGCTCAAGTGGAGGAACCGAGCAGGTGCAGGTTTGATTGGCATGGACCTGTGCCCTCCCTGGCTCCTGCCAGGGCCCACCCTCCGCTACCCATCAGCCTGCACAGGGCAGGGCTTGCTGTTGCCTGAGGTTACTGAAGAGGTGGAAGATAGGGGTAGGTAAGACCAAGGCTTCCTTTAAACTGCATGGGTAGATGCACGTCATAATCCCAGTGGCTCGGGAGGCTGAGGCAGGAGGACAGCAAGTTTGAGGCCAGCCTCAGCAACTTAACGGAGGCCCTAAGCCACTTACCGAGACCTTGTCTCAAAAATAAAAAGGGCTGGGTATGTGGCTCAGTGGCTAAGACCCTGGGTTCAATCCACAGTAGCAAAAAACAAAACAAACCAAAACAACAAAAAATAAACAACAAAACAAACAAAAAATCCATAAAATTTTATTCCTAAGTATTTTATTCTTTCTGATGCTTTATTAATGTGTCTGTTCTGAGTTTAAATTTTTTTGTTGCTAGTGTATAAAAATACCACTGATTTTTGCACGTTGATGTGTATCCTACCACCTTGCTGAGCTTGTCTTTAGTTCCAATAGCTGTGTGGGTGGATTCCTTGGGGTTTTCTGAATCCTTTTTTTTGTACACAATTGTGTTTTCTGCAAACAGAAGATTTTTTACTTCTTCCTTTCCAGTGTGGAGGCTCTTTCTTCCTCTTGTCTAACTGCTCTTTTTTAAAAAAAAATTATTTAGTTGTAGGACACAACACTGTTATTTTATTTTTTATGTGGTGCTGGGGATCGAACCCAGGGCCCCGCTCATGCAAGGCAAGCACCCTACCACTGAGCCGCAGCCTGGCCCCAGCCTGCATAGCTGCTGTGGCCAGCACTTCCGGGAGTGCGGGGTGGACAGGACCAGAGCGGACACCCACGTCCTGCTCCTCATTGCAGGGGGCTGTGGCCCTTCACCATCATGTGATGGCAGCTGGGTCACTGTGGCTTCCCATTTTTCTGGTGGAAGCCCCTCTACTCCTGGTTGGTTGGTTTGTCCTGAAGGATTAGATTTTGTCAAAAGCTTTTTTGTTTCACTGCCAAATGCTTTTTCTATGTCATGTGTTGAGTGATCATGTTCTTTTTCCCCCTTACTCTATGGATACCATGTGTTACACTGAGTGCTTTTCATATGTAAATAATCTGCATTTCTGAGATAAGTTCCACTTATTAATGGTCTGGGGACAAAAAGGAGCAAGGCTTCCCATTAACTGGCTGTCAGTCCAGCTCTGGGGCCTCAGGGGGCTGCTTCTCTCCCTGCCTCTCGCCCCGTCTGTAGGGGGGGCTGATACTGGTGAGAGTAAAAGACAGAGATAAGACACCCAAGTGGGTGGCACTTAGTAAACCCCTCCAAATGTGAGTCATTCTTATTATCATATCACTCCAATGTGCATAACAGCCGTGCATCTAGAAGTGACGTCACTTCTGAGTCATGTATGACACATGCACAAAGCACCCTCTATTCCGTGGGTTTGAGAGTCTTTGCTAAGCAGCACTGAGTGGAAGAAGAGGTGGCCCTGGGGGTGGAGAGAATGGGCTCAGATGGCTGGCTCTGCTCTTCCTTGTTCTGGATTAAATCTTCCTCAGCCTCAGTTTTCCCATCTGTGAAGTGGGACTGTCCCAGTCCCCATGCAGTGTGTTTGCAAGGTCAGGCAAAAAGAAGTGGCAGAAGCTGTCAGTGCAAGTGACCAACATGCTGATCCCTTTGCTGCCTTGGCCCAGCACCCACTCAGCCTCGCCTCTGCCCTAGCGCCTCCTCCGAGGTCCTGCTCAGAAAGCCTGGGACAAGGCCCTGGTTTGAAGCGGGTACCTCGTTTGAAGTCCAGCAGGAACCAGCGGTAACAGAAGTAGAAATGGGTGTAGTCCCCGTTCTGATGCATCAGCTCAAAGAGTTCCGAGTCCAGGATCTGTTAGAGGAAGAAAAAGCGGTGGTATCAGTTCCAGAGAAAGGTTGGAACAAGAGGGGACCGCTGGGTCAAGGACGGCACAAGCTGTCACCAGACAGCCCTCAGCAACCAGGTGGGGTTTAAGTGGACAAAGACTGTGAGTAGACGTTTCTCCAGAGACTTCCAAGTGGCCATGAGCACACACAGCACGCTTGGCATCTTTAGCCAAATGAAAACCGCAGGAGACGCCACCTCACACCCCTGGGATGGCTCAATCAGTGACAGATAATAACAAGTGCTGGCGAGGATCAGGAGAAGCTGGAGCCCCCTCCACTGCTCTGGTAACTGGGGCAGCTGCTGTGGAGAACATTTTGGCAGCTTCTCAAAAAGTTAAACACAGAGCTGCCGCGCGATCCAGCAGGTCCTCCTCAACAGTCCGTGGAATAATCTGACCATGGACCGCACAGCAGCACTGTTCAAAACGGCCAATGGAAACCAGTCCGACATCCACCAAAAGATGAATGGACCAACAAACCGTGGCTGTTAGAAAACAGAGGGCAGAGACCTGCGGGAATCAGACACTGTGCTCAGAGGAACAGCAGCTCTGAAAGAGTCTGTGGGAAGAGAAGGGCAGCACGCGCTGCAGGAGTCTTAAGGGTGCAGAAGGCACCCAAATAAAGCGAGCAGCACTAGGACAGGGAATCCACAGAGAGTGACCCAAATGACTCCAAAGGGAGAAGGACGGATCTTCCTTGGAACTGTTCAGAAAAACACAGATGACATCTGTTAGAGTCTGTAAACAAGTCTGGATGGCGCCTGGCAAAATGCCAGAGGGAGTGGTTTGTGAAATAACACCAGCAAGCCATTAAGTGTGGAGATTCCTGATTGGTTGACTGATGTATCTAGTTTATGCTAATTAAGATAAGCTGTGTGGAATGTATAAATACTGCTCCTGTTCTGCAATAAACGGCTCCCTCTCCTGCTGTATCAACATACACAAGTTGTTCGTCACCCCCTGGTTATTTTGCTGCAGCTGCACTGCTGCAGACATCACCACACACTGCTGCAAGTGCACCCAGGAGACTGGCCAAAAGGAAGAAGTGTGACAGGTCAGGTAAGGGTGACGTGGGTCAAGGAATCTCACTATTGGGTGTGGCAGTGCACAAGGCAGGAGGCTCAGGATCCAGGGAGGCAGGAAGATCTAGGGCAAGTTCAAGGTCAGCCTCAGCAACTTAGTGAGACTCTGTCTCAAGATTTAAAAAACAAAAAATGCCTGGGAGTGTAGTACTTGTTTAGCATGAGCAAGGTCTTGGATTTGATCCCCAGGACTGAAACACACACACACACACACACACACACACAAAACAAAAAAACCTTCTTGGGACAACTGATGGCTTTGGAGAATGATCTAGCCGTGTCCAATGAAGCCCCAGCACAGCTTGTGCACGCAGGAGGAGATGTGCACAGAATTTCTTAACAGCACCATTTGTAAAGGCCAAAAGCAAACTTGCAAATCCCCAAAGCAAAAGCAAAACAAAACAAAACAAATGGAAATAAACTAAGTGTCCACCAACAGGAAAAGGGCTACGAATGACGTGGGCCTATGTGCGAGACTCCTAGAGTGGAAGCTGAGTTTCAGGGAAGAGGCAGTGACCTGCACCCTTGAGGAGTGCAGCAGACCTGCCCCCTGCACAGACACGCTGCCAGACCGACGCCAGTCAAGACTATTCCTGCACCTTACATGAGCCCTGGGGAAGCAGCCCCACGGCAGTGCATACACAGTAGGAGGATTTTTGTGAAAGTCTTTTAATTACAAGCTTCACATCCTAGAAAGGGGTCACCACTAGGAGGACAGGAATGAGGACATGCCATCCACAGGGACACATGAGGGCTGGAAATCTATGGTAAATGCTTTGGACACTCATCGTATCATCATTTCTCTTATGTCTAAAATATTTGGTGACATTTTTTAGCTTCACCAAAAAAGTACTCAGGATTAACTTGATCACTGCTGCAATGTCATTGAAGGTGCCCAGGTAGTGACATTTCCCTGTCATTTGCTAAGGCTGATACATTTCCATTACTTCCACTCAAAGTAGCGAATGTCTCAATTCTTCTGGGAGCAGATGGTGGGTGCTGAAGGGCTGGCATTTTTCATAGCACCTGCACACTTCAGCTTGCACGGAGTCACTGAGGGGTTCATATGACACAGACTGTCGGGCTCAGCTCCATGTCTCTGAGTCAGGGGGGCAGAGGGAGGTAAGACTGACCTGCATTTCTAACAAGTTACTAGGTGACACTCCTGCTGCTGGTCAGGGACCCTGCAGGCCCTGTGCTCAGTACTATAAATGCATTACTTTATTTCATTTCCATAACTGTAACAATTCATTGGGAATCATATAAATGGGAAAATAACCTATTTTCCAGATGAGGAAACTGAGGCCCAGAAAGATAAAAGCCTAGATTTTCTAGCCAGTGAGAAGCAGAAATAGGGTTCAAATGCACCTTGACCCCAAGTTGCTCAATCCTAAGTCATGGAGCGATACCTACTGGTCCCCAAAGAGCTGGAAGCAGGACTAGATGCCGGTCATACCTGGATCAGCGACCTCATGTTGGCAAAGTGCGTGTCCATGGCGCCTCCGTGGGGAAAGTTCTGGTTCATCCTCTTCATGAGCTCTGTGAAGCAGCTGAAGGCCAGGGCCTCTGGGGCACAGCGTGCGAGGGACAAATGTTAGTGGTACCACTGCCCGAGGCCCCCAGCTCCCCGGGGGAAGTGCTAAGCCCAGGGCTGGGTCAGAGCGTCCACAGCCGGGGGGGGGGGGGGGGGGGGGGGACATGGGGACCGGGGAAGGCCCGCTGGATTGGGTTCCAAGGGAAGCTCTCCAACCTGAGGGGAATCGTGTGCTTCTCACCCAGGAGCTCTTGGCACCCTTGTTTAGGAAATGATGGTGTAGCCAAGGCTCTTTGCAAAAGGCCTCTATTTGCTCCAGTAAAAAGTTGGCAGTGTTTTGTTTGTACCATTTATTTTTTCCTTTTTTGAAATTCTACTGGAGGGGCTGTGGCTGTGGCTCAGCGGTAGACTCTCGCCTAGCATGTGCGAGGCCCTGGGTTCAATCCTCAGCACCACATTAAAATAAAAGTATTGTGTTCAACTACAACTAGAAGTTCCACTGGAAATTCCAAGTCTGAGAACCACTGTCCTCAAGCACCAACTCTGAGTATCGGAAGGGCTTTTATAGACAACATGCAGAGTTTCAAATTACTTTGGAAAATGCTGCTCAGATTATCTGCTGCTTAGAATACCCATGCATTCATATATTTAAAAAGTAAAGGCTCTGAGAAGTCCTGTAGCAGAGAAAGAAACCTGATTCATACCACCCAGTGAGTCACAAACTTATTTGAAAAATGGTAGATTTTATTTTCTCTCGCTAAATAATTGATCATTTTGAGGAGAGCTATGCTAGACTGGAAAATTTCCCAAGGACAGTGGGATTTCATTCATTGTTTAAACACTCTGATTTATTTATTTATTGGAACCAGGGATTCAACACAGGGGTGCTTAACCACTGTGCCACATCCCCAGCCCATTTTTATTTTTTATTTTGAGATGATTCTGGATAAGTTGCTTAGGGTCTCACTAAGTTGCTGAGGCTGGCCTCAAACTTGCCTCAGATTCCTGAGCCACTGGGATTATAGGCAGGCACCCCTATGCCCTGCTTAAGACTTTATTTTTACAACAGTTTAGATTTATAGAAAAACTGAGAAGACAGCAGAGTTTTCTCACATGGACCACACCCAGTTTCCTCTGTTATTAATATCTTTGCGGGAGCACAGCTCATTTGTTATAGCTAATGAACTAAAACCCATACGTCATTAACTGGATTCTGTCCGTATTCTGGTTTCCTCAGCAGTCACCTATTGTGCTTTCTCTGTTGAAGGACCCCAGCTGTCTGGCCCATCACACACAGCTGGCGTGTCTCCTTAGGTTCCTCTGGGCTCCTGAGTTTCTCAGGCTTTCTTGTTTTTGATGTCCTCGACAGTCCTGAAGGGTCCTGGTCAGGTATTATTTTTATAGGATGTTCCATTACGAGCAGGAGAATTTGGTGTGAGATGAGGTTATGGATTTTGGGAGGAAGATCTCAAAGATAAAGGGCATTTTAATTGAATCCTGTCCAGGATACACATTGTGAACACGACTTATGACACATGACGTGGGCCCTGGTCACTCTGCAGAGGGAATGTCTAACCCTGTGTTGCGCCACTGTGACGTTCCTCTCATTTCCAGCCCCACCCCCTCTCACACTGGGTCTTTGGGAGGGAGTCACTACATGAGGTCCGTGCCTAAGAGTGGGGACTCCCTCCCTCCCTCCCTTTCTTCCGTGGTGCTGGGATGTTGCGGCCAATGCCACCTTTTAGCAGTTCTGTCTTCAAGCCCATGAACGTGGATGTCTTTTTATAATTTAGGTTTTCTTCCATTTCTTCCAAGAATGTTTTCTAGTTTTCAGGGCACCTTCCTTACCCTTCCGTTATATGTGTTCCTAAGTGTCCTGTGTCATAGATGCTATTGCAAATGGGACTATTTTCTTCATTTCATTTTGGAATTGCTTGTTCCAAATTCCACTCTGTTATCATCCCTGTTGTTGTGATTTAATCATCAGTTAAAATAAGACCAGCTCTGGAGGCTGAATGGAAACACTATAGACTTTGGTTTATTGATCTCATATCCTGCAAAATCGATGTATTTATTAGTTCTAATATATTTTTTTATTCAGTACAATTTTCTACAGGAAAGTCATGCCAACTGGGAACTCAGTTCTGCTTCCTCTCCAGTGGTTTCTCTTCCTTCCTGACCTGCCCGTGCTGGAACCACAGTGGAGAAAGCAGACATCTTTATCTTGTTCCAGACCCAAGGGGAACGTGCTCAGTCTTTCCCACTGAGTTTGATGTTGACGGTGGGTTTTCCATAGATATTGCTTGTCATGTCAAGTTCCCTTCTGTTCCTAGTTCATTGAGTGTTTTTATCATGAAAGGTGTTGGTTATATCATGTTTTTCTGTGTCTATTAAGATGAACTTTTTTTTGCCTGTAATTTTATTGATGTAGTGAAGAGTGCTTATTATTTTGTATGTTGAACCCCTTGGCATCCCTGGGGTAAATCCCACCCGGTCATGGACTGTAATCCTTTTTATTTCTTGTTGGGGGCCTAGTTTAGTGTTAGAGCACTTGCCCAGCATGTGTGAGGCCCTGGACTCAAAACCCTAGCATCATAAAAACAAAACAAAATGAAACACTTCACTTACTATATCTTGTTGGAATTAGCCTGTTGGTATTTTGTGGAGGATTTCTGCATTCATATCCATGAAAGATATTGGGATGCAGCCTTCCTGTGATGGCTGTGTCTGGTGTGGGCGTCGGGGTGGTGATGAGGAGCTCAGCACTTATCCGAGGGCTGCCTCCCAGATGAGTTGGGATGCCTTCCTCCCTTCCTCCCTTCCTCCCTTCCTCCCTTCCTGATACTAGGCATTGAACTTGGGCCTGGCTCATTTCCTTTCCTTTTTTTTCCTGGAAGAGTCTGTGAAGAAGTTGTGTTAAATCTTTCCTGAATATCTGGTAGCGCTCACAGTTAAGCCACCTGGGCCTGGTTCTTCTCTGCTGTCACTCACGTCTGTACAGTCGGTAGCTAGCAAAGGCCTGGCTGGGTCTCGGTGTTGGACACCTGGCGCAGGAGGACTCTGTTCACTAGGACCCTGATGTGGTGCCCAGACAGGTCTCCTGAGCCCCTGCCCTGCTCATTCCATGGACCCACTGAGTGAGGGTCGCTCCCTTCCCTGCAGTGGGAAGGATCTGACCCCCGAGTCTACAGCAGAGGGGACCCACTCACCATCATCCAGGATGACCAGCAGCGGAGCCAGAAGGTCACACATGCCCTGGACATAGCCGATCTCAATGTGCTGCCAGATGTAGCTACGAGGGAAGAGGGGCCAGCGATACCGCCATCAGCCACCTCCTGTCACCCCTCCCCTAGATGGCGCCCTCAGCCCGACACCTGCATGCCCATCCTGTCTCACACTCCCCAGACACCTGGGCACAGCCACCTGGATGGCCCTCCCAATGTCCTGCTCAAGGGGGTCACTGCATGCTCAGAAGCCTTCATAAGGGTGCTATTGGGTGGGGTGACATCCAGACTCCTTTACTGGGGTACAGGACTCAGCGCCTCCCAATTCATCTCAGAGCCCCACGCAGCACCTCCAGTGCCTCTTCCTCCCCAGCCACGCAGGGGGTCTCCCTCCCCACAGACAAACCACACGGTTACGTCCCTGCACCTTTGCCCTAGGGGGTCCCGCTTTCAGAAACTCTGATCAGCCTCTTATTAATAAGAGCTCGTATTTTCTGAGTATTTACTATATACTTAGCCTGATACACATTTACCGTATCTTTTAAGATAATCATATATCTTAAAAGATATATATTTATATATTTCAAGATAATCATACAAATTATGATAATCATGTAAGATACTCATATAAAATAAATATCATCATTACCACTCTTCACAGATGAGGAGACTGAGGCATGGACAGGTAAGTGCTTTCCCCAGAGTCACAGACCTAATGGTGGGGGGCGGAGGCAGTTTCTGGACCCAGGAAGCCTCATTTGAGGGTATGTGACCTTAAACTCCATGGTCAGTGGTTTCTTCAGTCATTTTAAAAAAATTTTCTCCAAGTCTCTCTGGAGAGTCCCCACCTCTGTGAGGCTCCCCATGACCTCTCCCTAAGCTCATAACCAGAAAAAGTCAGTCTATTCTTCCTCCTCCCCAGCACTTTTCTCATTTAAATATAACATCTGTCATTCAGTTGAAAACTTTAAAATACATCATATCATGTAATACACACTCATATTGCAGTGCACAGAATATGACATAAGATTATATGATCATTAAACACCATCTATGTGGCTATGGAAGATATTTGCCACGTGGCTAGCTGGTATTACTTCTGCGGGAGTGTCACTGACAGGCAGAGACGAGGAAGTTTCTCTTTGCATCTTAGGACCTTCTGACATCCTTAATTGCTGCAGATTTTTAATATGCCTGGGCCAGTTTTACTTCTTAAGAGATGCCAATAATAATTTTTAATGAACAGAAATAAGTAGCCTTAGATCTTGGCTTAAAAGAAAGAAAAGGACAGATTTTAGATAGAGATGTGGCTGTGAGTCCCCCTGAGTTGTGGTCCAGTGAGGACACTGAGCACCGGGTGGCCCCCTCTGAGTCTCCATATCCTGTCACAGGGCATAATAATTACTCCATTGAGCTGTTGAAGGAATAAATGAGCTGAGGATAGTAGGGGTCTTGGGACAGTGCCTGGTATACAGTAAGCACTCAATAATCACTCTCTTTTATCATTACTGTTGTTATTTAATTGTCAGTGTGGGTTAAAAACAGACCAGCTTCAGAGGCTGACCGAAGTTCCACCTGGGCTCACCATAGCCCCACGGGGTCCCCCTGCCACGCCCCTCCCCCAGGTCTCCCAGGACACCACCTGCACATGATGTTGCGCAGCTTCTCCAAGTTGGCGGGTGTGAAGTACCAGTAGTTGCGGTCACACCTCTGCACGTCCTTCTCAATGCGGTGCAGATTCACGGTGTACAGGTCCAGCAGCTCCGGCTGTGGGTGCCCAGGAGAAGAAAAGAGATTATCCCCAAACTCCCCACTGGGGGGCAGGACCCCTTTCCTCCTCCTGACCCTTTCCTGTGGACAGGGAAGAGAAGATCTCCTGCCAGGGCCAGCTGGGGTTTATTTGCACACTTTCTGGGAAAGCCTCTTTGAGTTTGTATGTTCTGTTCCTTTTAAAATAAAACAATTTCACGAAATGCACAAAATCATTATCCCCATTTTACTAAAAAAAAAATCAAGACTTGGGCTGGGGTTGTAGCCCAGTGCTAGAGCGCTTGTCTAGCAGGTGTGAGGCCCTGGTTGGTTCCTCAGCAACACATAAAAATAAATAAATGAAGGTATGGTGTCCATCTAAACTAAAATTTCAACCAAAACAAGACAAAACAAACAAGACTTGGAGTTTAGCTGGAAGTGCCCCCCCCCCCCCCACAGAAAACTGCAGAAGGGTGAAGGAACTGAACCCCGGTCCAAGTCTGGTACCGTATTAGACCAGATCCTGTGGTCATAGACTGATGTAATGGCTCAATAATCAGCAAGAAAGGAAGGAGAATTCAGGATCAAAAACGAACTAGAGCAGGGCCCAGTAGGACACGCCTGTCATCCCAGCAGCTCAGGAGGCTGAGGCAGGAGGATCATGAGTTCAAAGCCAGCCTCAGCAACAGCGAGGCCCTAAGCAACTCAGTGAGACCCTGTCTCTAAATAAAATGCAAAACAGGGCTGGGGATGTGGCTCAGTGGCCTAGTGCCCCTGAGTTCAATTCCTGGTACCAAAACAAACAAACAAACAAACAACCAAACAAACAAAAAACCCCCCAAAATAATATAAAACAAAACAAGAAAACAACTAGAAAAACAAGAAAATACTAAAACTGGCTTTGCCTTGAGGGTAGCTGCCAAACCAGAGAAATCAGGCTTGGATTCAATCATCTATAGCCCTTGCCAAGGTGAGTCCTAGTAAGAGACCTTCCGTTCCCAGCTTTCCCAGGAATCTCCATACTGCTTTCCAAATTGGCTGCACCAGTTTGCAGTCCCACCAGCAATGTACAAGAGTACCCTTTTCGCCACATCCTCGCCAGGAGTTGTTGTTGTTTGACTTCATAATGGCTGCCAATCTTACTGGAGTGAGATGGTATCTTAGGGTGGTTTTGATTTGCATTTCTCTGACTGCTAGAGATGGTGAGCATTTTTTCATGTACTTGTTGATTGATTGTATGTCCTCCTCTGAGAAGTGTCTGTTCAGGAACCACCATTTGACCCAGCTATTGCCCTTCTCGGACTATTCCCTGAAGACCTTAAAAGAGCGTACTACAGGGATACTGCCACATCGATATTCATAGCAGCACAATTCACAATTGCTAGACTGTAAAACCAACCCAGATGCCCTTCAATAGATGAATGGATAAAAAAAATATGGCATTTATACACCATGGAGTATTACGCAGCACTAAAAAATGACAAAATCATGGAATTTGCAGGGAAATGGATGGCATTAGAGCAGATTATGCTAAGTGAAGCTAGCCAATCCCTAAAAAACAAATACCAAATATCTTCTTTGATATAATGAGAACAACTAAGAACAGAGCAGGGAGGAAGAGCAGGAAGAAAAGATTAACATTAAACAGAGACATGAGGTGGGAGGGAAAGGGAGAGAAAAGGGAAATTGCATGGTAATGGAGGGAGACCCTCATTGTTATACAAAATTACATATAAGAGGTTGTGAGGGGAATGGGAAAATAAACAAGGAGAGATATGAATTACAGTGGATGGGGTAGAGAGAGAAGATGGGAGGGGAGGGAGGGGGGATGGTAGAGGATAGGAAAGGTAGCAGAATACAACAGTTACTAATAGGGCATTATGTAAAAATGTGGATGTGTAACCGATGTGATTCTGCAATCTCTATTTGGGGTAAAATTGGGAGTTCATAACCAACTTGAATCTAATGTATGAAATATGACATGTCAAGAGCTTTGTAATGTTTTGAACAACCAATAAAAAAAAAAAAAAAGACCTTCCACAGCAACACAGCACCCCAAAGAGCCACAGCCTCAGTAAGGGAAACCTATGAAATAGCTTGCTCACCTTCTGGGGCCTGAACGTAACTGCTTGATTGCCCTTTGAACACAGATGCCAAATTCAGTGTAAAAGCTATCTCCCTGGATAATTAAGCCCCAAATCAAGTTTATAACTCATGTAGGTTTCTAACCCAATTCCCACTGCCTGGGTGGTCTGAAAGACTGGAGAATTTAAAGTTATCTCAGATTTGTTAGGCCTCTGGGACTGGGATGAGGCAAAGGAAGGAATCAACCTTTCACCTAGGCCTCAACAGATAACACTCCATGAAACACAAGCGTATGTTCAAACACCACAAGATGCTCAGAGAAAGAGGACCCCCAAATAACAGCTGGCATGAACACAAGATGACAGAATTAGAACCAAAAGAGCCTCTGTTACTGGAAGCATCAGGGACAGAGGATAAAATAAGTTTTTAATATATTTAAAGAAATAAGAGGTCAAAGAAATAGCAACTCTATAAAATAATCAAACAGTCACAGCATATATGAAAAAATTCAAGTGAAACTTTAAAAAAACATTAAACACTCATTAGAGACATGTAACAAAAAATTAGACTGTGTGTCTGTGTGTGTGTGTTCGTTCCTGGGGCTCAAACCCAGGGCCTTGTGCATGCTAGGCAAGGGCTCTACCACTAAGCTGCATCTTTTTTTTTTTTTTTTTGTACCAGGGATTGAACCCAGAGGCCCTTAACCACTGAGCCACATCCCTAGACCTTATTTTTTATTTTGAGACAGGGTTGCTGAGTTGCTTTGTGCCTTGCTAGGTTGCTGAGGCCGGCTTTGAAGTCATGATCCTCCTGCCTCAGCCTTGCAAGCCGCTGGGATTGCAGGAGTACATAATCCTGAGCTATAGCTTTAACCGAAAATCTGACACTCTTTTATTTTGTTTTTAAATAAGTAGTAAATAATTATCATTTTTTATACATTTATTTTATTTATTTAGTTTTTTATGTAGTGCTGAGGATTGGACCCAGGGCCTCACATGTGCTAGGTGAGTGCTCTACCGCTGAGCCCCAGCCCCAGCCCAACACTCTGGAAGAGAATCAGTAAATTCAAAAGAGATCGGAAGAAAGTCCAGGATTCAGCAGAGAGACAGAGAAGGGTCAAATGAAAGAGCAGTAACAGACACAGAGGAGAGTGTGAGGAGGTCCAAAGGCTACAGACGAGACAGAAAACGGGGAACAACAGCCGAATGAATACTAGAGGAGAATTTTCCAGAACTAACTAAAGACATCAATTCACAGATGCATACACAGACTCTGGCTGGGAAATAGAAAAAGACAGCTACACTTAGTCACATAATGGCACACAGTGACAACACATTGAAAGAGAATCTTAGAGAAGGACGGAGGTTGTCTTTGCAGAGATGACAGTCAGCTCCCTGACTTGCTAACAGTAGCGAAGGCAACTGGAAGAAAGTGCAACAGTGTCTTCAAAGCCCAGAGGTGTCCTGACTTAGGATGGGGCTGAGGCCTGACCCCTGTGTCATAAGGAGCGCTGCAGGGCTTCACTGCACAGTGCGCTCTGCAGTATGGGGGTGTTTTGTCCTTATGATGGTGCTGCTGACTGCCAGCTGTGGTCACTGCCGCTGTCCAGCAATCAAGAGAAAAGATCATACTACATACTACTAGCCCAGGACAAAAATCCACTGTGAGCTTCAAAAGTCATAAATCAAACCATTCTAAATTGAGGACCATCTGTACTGAGGAAAAATCACTGTGATCTGGAGTCGCATATTCAGTACAAATATCTTCAAGATCGAGGGCCACATGAGCCTCACTCCAGATGAACGGAGGCCCATCTGCTCAGGAAGGCACTTCACACGGAGACGGGGACCCCAGGCCAGGGGCCCGCCACGTAAGAAGGCAAGAAAAGCCAAATGGGGGACAGCCACTGAGGCATGAGCCCCACCCAAACAAGGGTGTCAAGTTAGAAGAAGGGAAACTGGGGGCCAGAGGCTGGAGTGAGGTGGAAGGGACCTGGAGCAGGGGCAGGAGGAAGGTTGGGGACACACCTGCCTCAGGTACAGGCTGAACTCTCCAGACACACAGAACACACACAGAGCCTGCCGAGTCTGAATGTTGGAGGGATCCAGAAACCTGGCAAGGATTTGGGGCAGTGAATTGGTGATAAATATTCAAGAAACTAAGGAAAGGAAGCAAACAAATGAAGACACATCCAGGACATTTTTTTTCTTCTGCAAAAAAAGTCAACACAGCTGACTTCATGGCCCAGAGGAGACACCTAGGATCCTGTGAACCTGAGTGACCATTTAACCAAGATCATTATGTAGCTGTGCTGGAAAGATGGGTGTGGCTAGTGTCCCTTGTGAAGTGACAGGTCTGGGGTGGAGAAGGACGTGGGAGCCAAAAATCTGCTTCCATAATGGGGGTCACTGGTAATGTCTAAAACTGGGGGAAAAAAAGATCAAACAGCAATAATACAAGTGTGTTTGAGCTATGGGGTGGAATCAGACATCAGGGCACAATAAGTAAGATGGTCGCCCTGGGGAGGACTGATGGGGAGGAGGGGCGAGCTCATGGTTCTGTTCTTTTTCTTCCTTTCTTTTTTCCTTTTCTTTCCTTTTTTAAGAGGCAGGGTCTCCCTACGTTGCACAGGCTGGTCTCCAACTCATAGGCTGGAGTGATCCTCCTGCCTCAGCCTCCCGAGCAACTGGGACTACAGGTGCACCACTGAGCCCAGCCCAACATCTGGTTTTCATAGCTAGCTTCGTCCAGATGTTTGACCCTTTAAATTATGGGCTTGCACATCTTTAATAGGAAAAAGAAATCTTTTAAAGAAATGTGTACACCAGGGGTGGCTTGGAACATCTTCCTTTCAGATGATGTCTTCTGGCCTGGATTTATTGGCACATTTAAAGGATGTCAGACCTTAGTCAAAAGCATGAAGGTGACTGTGGAGCTGCTGCGGATGTGCTCACTGTGTGCCACACACCCAGCACTTCAGAGTATGAACTGAAAATAACTCAAGAAGGTGCCAGGCAGATAGGGAGACCGAGGCGCAGGAGCGCTCAAGGGATTTGCTAAAGCTGGGGTCTGAGCCTGGGAGTGCCCACTGTGAAGCCTGTGTCCCCCAGTCCCCCATGATGGGGCATCCCCTGGTTGAAATCTCTGGACCAGGGGTGTTTGGGGATGCTTAGGCTTTGGGGACACATCTATATCTATGTCTATATCTGTACCTGATGAGATATGGTGGGACAGGACCTGTGTCTACACATGAATCCACTTATGCTTCATGTGCACCTCTCCCCCTGCCCCGAAGGTAATTTTCTACAGTATTTTGAATAACTTTGTGCCTTCTGACTGCAGCCCATCCCACGAGGTCAGATGTGGAGTTTTCTGTTTGTTGGATTAAGTTGGTAACTGGTTTTGGGGTATGGAGTCCTCTGCTGAATAGATTCTGTTTTGTTTTTGAAGACAGGGTCTTGCTCTGCTCCCCAGGATGGCCTCCAGCTCATGGGCTCAGGGATCCTCCTGCCTCAGCCTCCCAAGCAGCTGGAATAACAGGTTCTGGCCACTGAGCTTGGGCACTTTGGAGTCTGGGTTTTTAGATTAGGGATCCTCCTCTCTCCCAACCCGGGTGTGTGCAGTGAATCCCGGTGACGGTGACGGGGAAAGGAAACCAAGCAGCCGCAGCTCTAGGGCTGGGTCTCTCTGCCCCACCCCTGCAGCGGGATGGAGGAGAGTCCTGGTGACTTACGGAGTAGGTGACGCCGCTGGACGACACGGGGGACGCCTCATTGTTGGCAGAAGTGGTCACGACCAGGGAAGCCAGGGCGGGGAAGAGGCTCTCCATCTCGGGCTCCTCCGAGAGGTTGTCCTCGCTGTCCGCCTGGCTGCGCTTCTCGGCCTTGCAGCCCCGCCAGCCCTCCCCTGCCGCACCGTCCTTCTCGGGCAGGGCCACGTCCATGCTGCCGGCGATGGACATGAACTCGTCCAGGCTCCCATTGGCCAGGCTGTCGCTCTCCAATCGGTCCTGCACTGCCAGCTCCTCGCGAGGGGCCTCGTCCCTTGAGGTGGTGGCCTCGCTGCTCTGCCCGTCGTCCACGCTGCTGTCCCCAGGTGGAAGGGCCGGGGGCACGCTCCGCTGGGCGTCCAGGATGCTGTCTTCGGTGCTGAGGCTGGGCTCCGAGTGCTCCGAGAGGCCAGAGGAGAAGTTGTGGGAAGATGGATGGCCAGAGTCTGGGGAGCACGGGCCGTTTTCTAGGTTCCCGTTGTGGACCTTGGGTTGTTTCTCCTCCAGTCGGCCTTCTCCTTCCACCTGCTCTGCCTCATCCACGGACTCAAACACCTGAGCAGAAGGTGAACAGGGACAGAGGTGAACAGGACAGCTGGGTGTCCATGGCGACACTGTCCAGCAGCAATCTGATACTCAACAACTGGGGATTGGTTTCAGGATGGAATTTGCATGCACTGGAATACTATACAGCGGGAAAAGTGTATTTTGTGCTCCATTTGTAACAAGTAAGTGATACACGCTTATATATGCATGAATAATTCAGAAATAACAAGAAAGCATTACAGCCCTCTGAAGAGGGCTACCAGGGAACTGTAATGCATCATATAGACTTTCACCATGAATTCTTTTTTTCTTTTTTTTGTACTGGGAATTGAACTCAGGGGTGCTTAACTACTGAGCCACGTCCCCAGCTATTTTTTATATATTTTATTTAGAGACGGGGTCTCTCTGAGTTGCATAGGGCCTCTCTTAGTTGCCGAGGCAGGTTTTGAACTTGCAATCCTCCTGCCTCAGCTGCTGGAGATGGTGAGATATAAATAGGCGTGTGCCATTGTGCCTGGCTCACCATGAGCTTTTTAAAAAACTAAACTATTAGTGAATGTCAGGAACAGGCTAAAAAACATATCACATGAAATTATCTGTGGAATTCATTTTAAAGACATATTGGTGATTCTTTGTGTCTTTATGGCCTAAGGACAGACAGTAAAAGACCACAGACCGCATTCCAAAGTCATTTGCAGTATTTCTTCTCTCTAATGACTTGATTTATGGTTAATTCTGTATGTTGCTTAGTTTTTTTAAAATTTCTTTTTCATTCAGTGTATAAAAGTTTATCTAACCCCAGAGTCAAAATTAGAACTTTTTGATTCCAAAGTCGAAATGAGAAAACCAACCTCAGGGACTCACAGCTCCCCGCCCCCCCCCCCCATCCCCCACTCCTCTCTCCTGGGTAAGCACTTTGGGTAGTTCTGGTTTCTCTTTCCACTGTATTTGAAAATGAATGTGATTGCATACATGTATCCACATTTCCCCTTCTACACAAAAGTTGTCAGCCTCTGTACCTTTCTTTGCAACTTGCTTTTTCTTTAATATTGAGAGAGATAGAATCAAGTGTTTTCATCTAGTTTAACAGAAAGTCAACAAGGAATATATACAATCGCATTTAGGTAGAAAAATTTAAAAACTACCAAATGCTGCTACATGTTATCTGCATATTTCAGTTGTGAAGAGCACAGTGGGCTGTTGATGGTTATTTTCAAGGCAGGCAGGGGGATGATGGAAGACAGAAGCAAGTTTGGCTTTCTCTGCAGTGTTTTAATGTTCTGCCTGGAGAATGGATTCATATGGAGTCGGTCTCCCATTATCCCCAGATTCCACATCCACAGATTCAACCAGCTGCATATTGAGAATATTTGGGAAAAAAAAAAAGACCGCATATGTGCTGGATGTGTGTATAATTCTTTGTATGTGAATAATTCCTTGTCATTATCCCTAAAAAATTCAATATAGCTAGTATTTCAATAGCATTTACATTGTGTTGGGGACTCTAAGTCATCTCGAGTATACAGAAGGCTGTGCAAAGGTTGTGTGCAAATACTGCACCATTTTACATAGGATCTGCACATCCCTGGAGTTTGGTATTCATGGGGGCTCCTCAAACAAGTCCCCTGGATACCAAGGGACAACTGTATTAGTTGTGTCGCTAAAAGGTGCATTTTGAATGCTAGAATAAAAAGCTAAAACACAGCAGGGAAGAATAGAAGTCCGTTGGATTAGACCCAGGGGAATGAAGGGAGGGGAGGGGAGTGGGGAAGACGGTGGCATGAGTCGGACATTACTATCCTTATATGCACATATGATCACACGACCAGGGTTACTCTACCTCATGTATGACCAGAAGAGTGAGAATAATAATAATATTAAAGAAAATATCGAGAGAGATGGGATTCAGTGTTCTATACTCCATGTATGTATGATATGTCAGAGTACATTTACCGTCATGGAGGACTAATAAAACAAAAATGCACGCGCGCGCGCGCGCACACACACACACACACACACACACACACACATAAAAATGCTAAAACACAAACCAAAGAGGGACCCGTAGATGGTGGCCATCCAATGCCCGCTACCCTGGGGGACATGGCGGGGTGTGGGCGGGAGGGGGCAGGGCCTCTGGAAGGTCACCTGTGTGCTGCTGCTGGAGTCGCTCTGCAGGCGGATGTTCTGGCGGCCGGAACTGCAGCTCTGGGAAGACTGAGAGGAAAGGGGCGTCAGAAGAGCGGGTGAGGCTCGGGGGGGCTGCTGGGCCGGAGCCAGGAGGCTTGGTCCCTGGCTGTCCCTGGTTAGGAGATGTCACCCCTGGAGACATCAGCTTCCCAGCTGTAAGACGAGGGAGGTGGCATCCCTGCTCCCCAGAGTCGCCTCAGAGATGACTTGGGTCTCCGCATCCCCACCCCTCCTCCTCTGCCACGAGAGCACCCACCCCCAACTGCTCTGTGGAACTTGAGACTTTGGCTAACGTTTTGGTTCAACTCAGAATGACTGGCTGGATTGACGCTCCATTTTTTACCAGCTCCCTCTACACAAGGCTTTGCCCTGTAACCTCACAGTCCCCGCCTCGTGGATTGCTTCCCTCAAGGGACGCTAGCAACCTCGGCAGAGCAGAGACTCAGATCACACGTGCTTCTGTCCCTCAGCATCTGCGTTCCCAGGACAGCATGCCAGGCTAGCCTGCTGGAGGGCGAGGCACAGGAGCAGAGCCGAGTCCCTCACACAGGTGAGATGCCCAACCTACATCAACAGCTTCAGGTGACCAGCCACTGGCAGCTGGCCTCAGAGAGAGCCCCACCCAGGCATGCTCAGAGCCGAGCTGCTGGGCTGACCTGTGGACTAGTGAGCAAAGCTAACGAGGCCCATGCTGGTGGCTGAAGTCACTGGGTTTGGGTGGCTGGTTGTTAGGCCAGCTCTGTGGCCGCAGGAAGGGCACATCACTGGTGAGGACAGCACTTTTTTCCTGCTTTGACCTGTTCAGCTGGTGGTTATGTAAGGGTGACATGTCCGCCTTGGCTACTGGGACATTCTGGACATTCCAGGACATTCCTGAGAGTACCTGGCACACAGTAGGTACTTGATAAGCACTTGCTGAATACATGGAAGTCAGAAGTCAGGCACTGTGCCAGTCATTTGATATGCATGCCTTTGTTTTTTTTTTTTTTTAGATGTTGATGGACCTTTATTTTTTAATTTTTTAAAAATATTTATTGCTTAGTTGTAGTTGGACACAATACTTTTATTTATTTATTTATTTTTAGGTGGTGCTGAGGATGGAACCCAAGGCTGCACATGTGCGAGGCAGGCGCTCTACCACTGAGCCCCAACCCCAGCCCCTGGACCTTTATTTTATTCATTTATTTATATGCGCTGCTGAGAGTCAAACCCAGTGCCTCACACATGCCAGGCAAGCGCCCTGTCACTGAGCCCCGACCCAGCCCAATCCCGCACTGTCCTGCTGGAGCTGTACACAGACCTCTGTATGACTGATTATTCTGTTTAGATACAGAAATGAAGGCCAGGAGGAAAGGTCATGCAGGACACCCCAGGGCTGATGTTGGAATTTGAACTCAGGTATGGTTCCAAAGTCACCCCCTCAAAAAAATAAAGAGCAGTTAAGGGTGAGGTGGTCAACTGTCCCAAGGCCTAGGATATGCCACCCTTGCCCCTCTCTCATCCTGCCTCCCCTCCCCTCCCCTCTGGCACCCCCGGCCAGCTGTCCTTCACCTCATTGCTGATGGTGGAGTCCCTGTGCATCATCCGGTGCAGGTGGCTGTCCAGACTGGCCCCCGATGAGCATTTGGCCAGCGCGGCTGCGTGGGACTCCCGCTCCCTCTGCCGCACGATGGCCTCACATCCCAGCCACTCCGACATGGTCTGTGCGTAGCAGGCATGGATCTGCTCATCCACCTGCCGGGGTGGATCAAGGTGAGACAGGGTGCTGGGGCTGGGCCCAGGGCAGACTCAGCCCAAAGGTCCTACAGGGAGCCTCCATTAACTGAGCACCTACTAGGAGATGCCTGGCACTGGCCAGACCTGAGAATACACCAGTGTGCGAGGCTCCTTCCTCCCCTCCCTTCTTTCTGCCCCACTGTGTGCTGGACAGTCTCCAGCTCTGGAGGTAACAGAGGGAGAAGATTGTTTCTTTCCTTATTTTACTACCATGCTTCTCTGTTTCTGCATCCCTTTGTTTACTCATTCATTTAATTTGAAAGTACCTACTGTGCGCCAGGCACCTAGTTAGGCATGTGGAATACAAGATGAGCAGGATCCTAACCCCCACCCACCCATCTACCCACTCACTCTGCAGTTTGCTGAGAGCTTCCTGCCTGTCCAACATGGGCCCAGGAGCCAGGATACAAAGATGAGAAAAACCAACTCGCTTCCCTTCCCTATAGCCAGTGCCTGATGGAAGGGGCACAGATTTCAAGCCATTCCCTGTGGGACGTCAGCAGGTAGGGGGACTCCCACTGTCCTGGGTTACACAGCCCAGGTGACCAGGGTTCTGAGTCTACCAGACATCTGGGCATGATGTGGCAGACAGCCCGCCCGCACAGGGTGTGCAGGGGACAGGTGCAGGGGCTGTCCCCTGTGGCCACTCAGACAGGGGCTCCAGCCCTCCTAGCCCGAGGGCCTAGGCTTCTACCTCCCTCCCTAGGACTTCTCCAGACCCACCCACCTCCCAGTTCCAGCTCCACCCCAGGCCAGGCTCCTCCCCACTCATGACCCAGAACCCTCCTCTCAGGTCCCTTCCTGTCCAGCTGGTCCCTTCTCTCCGTGCACCACTCAGCAGCCTCCATCCTCATTTCCTCTCCACCCCAGCTTCCGCACTGGCCCCCACCCCTAGCCCTTCATGTTCTAGCAGCTCACACCACCACCCCCCCCCCCCCCCCCCCCCCCGGCACGTTGGCCCCTTCCAGGCCTTTGCTCTGTTGTCCCCTCTTCCTGAAAGCCCCTCCTCATCCTCTTGCCTAGAAAGCAATTCCTTTGAAGGACTTGGGTTCCACGGGCTCCCCCAGGGGTCTCCTTCCACCTTCCGCTCTCTCCTGCCTGGCTTAAGTGCCACCTCTGGGCTCTTTCAGCCCTAGAGTTGGCTTCTGTCATATCAGTGACCATGGCCACCCTGATAACACCTTAAGAGCTTACCTAGTGCCCCTCTGGTTCCTCAGCCCTGAGCACAGGCCCAGCACCCCAGAGTCCCAGTTCCTCTGAGAGGAGCTCACACTAGGTGACCGAGGTGACTAGGTGACTGAGGTGACTCTGGTCAGTCCACTGGGTGGGTCCTCATGATACGGACCACAGGAAGTCTCCTCTCTTAACGCTCCTCCGATTCCTCCATCAGGCCAGCCTGGTACCACTGGGTCGTCACTACTTCCTCAACACTGTGACTGCCCTTCTTAAGAAGTCACTATTACTGGACATGTAGCATTCGTGTACAGTGATGGGTATGGTGTGACAATTCAATGTCTATGTCTACACCTATGATCGGATCAGGGTCACCAGCATTTCCTTCTCCCTAAGCATATGTCATCTGTGCTGGGACCCCTAGAGCTCCTCCCCTCCACTCTCTTCTGCACAAGGAGAGGGAAGGCCCACGCAGGCGAGGCATCTGGGTACACTGAGGACACCATTCTGTCTTATTCTACTTATTTGTACAGTTTCCTTCCATTTTAGAGCAAGTCACATTGGTTTCCTATGGATGGCAGGGATCTTCTGAAATAAGTTACATGAATGTTAAGGGAGTTCATTTTCAAAAGACAAATGTCAGTCAATAATGGTACAGGTGGTGACAGACGGGGGGCGTAAAGCACCAACAGGTTTTGAAAACTTAGAGAACATAAAATACATGTTAAGATGGTAATATGTTGGTACATTGGACTTAATAATAAAATATATTTTTCACTTTGATGAAATATCACAGAAACACACATACACACACACACACACACACAAATATAAATACTGGTGAGATCCCAGCGAGGCCTGGGGTCTGGCTAGTTGTACTGAGCCAGTGTCTTTGAAAACATTCTATTATACAAAAAGGAAAGTGGTGAAAACTGTATGATGGGGACACAAGATTCCTGTTACAGTTTAGGTATGAGCGTCCCCCAACAGCTCATGCGTGAGGCAATGCAACAATTTGCAGAGCTGAAACAATTAGATGATGAAGGTTGTGGATATGGATCAACTGGGCCGTATCCTCAGGGTGTGGCGGCAGGAGGGGGTTCACTGGGCTGAGCCTTTGGAGTACACATTTTGTCCCTGGTAAGTGGCGGTCTCTCTCCACTCTGTTGCCATGTCCTGAGTTGTCTTCCCTCACCACGCCCTTCCGCCATGACCTTCTGCCTCGCCTCAGGCCCAGAGCTGCGGACTCAACCTCTGTAGACGAAGACCCCTGAGACTGTGAGTCAAAATAAGCCTTTTCTCCTCTGTGTTGTTCCTATCAGGTCTTTTGGTCACAATGAAAAAGCTGATTAAAAAAATCCCTGTGTTATTTCTGCAACCACCTGTGACCTTATAATCACTTTACAATACAAATTTAAACATCTTACTTGCCTTTATCTTTTTCCTTTTTAATATGTGACTACTAAGGTATTTCCAACAATCTGCCACCATCATCAAGTCACTGTAGTCCTGGAAGGACACACACAGATCAACAGGACAGAACAGAGGACCAGAAATAGACACTGTGGAGAGGCCAGCCGACTTGACAAGGTGCCGAGCCAGTCCGTGGAGGAAGCTGACCGTGGCAACACAAGGTGACAGAGCCACTGGACACTCAGAGCCAAAACCCACCCTCAACCCAAATGACATATTACATGTAAAGCCAGACTTGAAATGGATCAGACTTAAAAATAAAATGTCAAACCATAAATCTTTTAGAAAAAAGCATAGAAGGCTCTCTGCCCTCTTCCTCTTCTTTCTCTCCTCTCTCTGCTCACATGCTCTTCCTCTGACCTCCTCCTCCCCTCTCTCGGCCTCTCCTTTTCTTCCCCTTCGGGTAGCCCCCCAATAAAATCTCTTGGTTGAAAAAAGAAAAAAGAAAAAAGCATAGAAGAGCTTTGGGAACTAGGGTTGGTCAAAAAAAATTCTTCTGCTCTAACCCCAACGCACAATCTGTAAAAGGAAAAATGGGGAAACTGGACTTCCACCAAGAATACCGAGAGGGGCTCGGGTGCGGCTCCGTGGTGGAGCGCTTATCTAGCAGGGTGAGGCCCTGGGTCCATCCCCAGGACCAAAAATATAAACAAATAAAAAAATTCAAATGTGTTTGGCAAAAGACCGTTTAAGAAAATAAAAAGGAAGGTGCAGCCTGGGAGAGAGCATTTATAAACCACTTATCCTACGAAGGACCATCATGTAGCGTTCCTAAAGAACTCCTAATTCAGCAGCCAAAACCCAGACAATCCAGTTCAAAGGGGGCAAAAGACTCGAGCAGACACCTCCTGAGAGAGACCCAGGGTGGCCGACGGGCACACAGATGTTCAACCTCACGGCCCTTTGAGAAATGCAACTAAAACTAAATGCAATGTCATTTACACACCTGTCAGAGTAGTTAAAATAAAAAATGGGGACACCACCAAACTGGTGAAAATGTAGGTGGGGCAGCTCCGATGGCTGGTGGGGATTGTAAAGTGGCCTGGCCACAGCAAAGTCTAAACCTGCAGCTACCCTCGGACCTCTCAGGTCATCCTGAGCATCTATCCCAGGACAATGACAGCTCATGCTCACACAGAAACCTGTGCCCCAATGTCCACTGCAGCTTTGTTCACATCTCCAAGAAAATGGTAGCAACAGAGCTCCCTGCAGACAGGCGAAGAGCTCGTGGTCCCCCAGACCGGGGAATTCTGCTCAGCCAGGAAAAGGATTCAACCATTGACACAGAGACGAGGAGGAGTCTCCAGAGGCTTGGCTGAATGAGAACAGTCAAACCCCAGAGGTCACATACTTGTGATTCCACTGGTCTAACACCTGGAACCCAGAAAATTACAGCATCGAAGAACAGGTGAGCGGCCACCAGAGGCCAGGGACATGTTCTGTTATGTCCACTGTGATGGCGAGCACGAATCTCACTTGTGAGAAAACCAAGGAGAACTAAATAAACACACCCTCAGCACCAACACGAGGGCAGGGGAGACTGAGTAGCCCCAGCACGGCAGGTGTGTCCCCCAGTGCCGAGGCCCTGGGGACGCTGGAGCACCATGTCAGTGTTGCTAGCTGTTCCCATGGCAGGGACCTGGGTAGAGGATATACAAGGTCTCTGCTTTATTTCTTACAACTGCATATTAATGCATAAAGATCTCAAAATAAAAGGTTTATTTAAAAATTGACATATGCAGCTTGTGTTGCTTCCACTGGACAGGAAATATGGGGGAGCCATGAACCTGAGGTCTCCCCCGTATCTCCCTGCCTTGGTCCAACATGGAAGCAGAGCTCCCCAGGCCACAGCATCCAGCTCGTTTTGTGGCAGAAGACCCCGCTGTGCAGCCTACATGGGGTAACCCACCTCCTTCCTGTCCGTTTCTGTCATCCCGAACTGATAGTGGCCCAGGAGGAAGGGCCACACGGCCTTGCGGATCTCGGGCTGGATGCCTCCATAGTAGATGAGCCGCAGCAGCTCCTGCTCCTCGTAACTCTGGGATGGGAGGAAGCAGAGGGTCTGGTCAACAGCCCACCAGCGGGTGGGCTCCGAGGCTCGGCTGTCCTGCTTCTTGGAGCCAGCCCCAGAGGTCCTGTGTGCACGAGCAAAGCGACAAGTTCCTGAATATCAACTGTGGCACCCTAGGAAAGAGCCAAACGTAGGCAACTCCCTGCTGCCCACCAATGGGGACCATGCATCCCTACATGGGGACCACACAGAGATTGAAGAGGACCAGAGGTGCGTTTGTGAGGCTTGATACCATGGGGTCGATTTCTTGCTGGCTTAACAGCCCTGGGTGGGCACTTCTGGTGAAGGGCATCTCTCCTCCCCCAGGGGCTTGGTCTGAGCTCCCACCATTATCCAGGGCCTCCCGGTTGTCTGATTCAGCAGAAGGGGAAGTAGGCAGTGTGGAGGGAAGCCACGCGCAAGGTTCAATGTATATTAAGTGGGGATCAAAAGCACAATACAGAACACGTCTAGGACGACTGGAACATGACTAGGATCTTTGTGAAAAGAAAAATGAATATCAATGATGTATTGTATGTTCATTATATATTACTGTATGGTAATCAGCTTATGATGAATGCACATTATATTTACTTTTCAGCCAATGTTTGCTATTGTGTATATTTGGAAAGACGATCTTACAGTTATCAGTCTTGACTCGGCTCTAAGTAAACTTGGCAGTGAATTAATCTAGAAGAAACATTTCCAGTTGCCACTTCACACAGTACTGACTCCTGTGCACGCTAGAATGACCTTAGCAATTGTTTGCTGCATTGTGTGGAGTTGATTTTTTTCAGTTAAGAAATAATTACTTCTATACAAAGGCTTCACAGTGACCATTTGTTGAGCTGAGGGGCCGGCAGACCCCAAATGCACTTGTGCCTGTGGAAGGGAGCGGTCCCTGGCTGCAGGAGGTTGCACAGAAGGGCCCCAAGGCCACCTCCTCTCAGCTCTTTATTTCATATTCCAAAATCAAAAACATATTTCTCGTGGGAAGGCTAGTCTTGGGTGTACCCAACAACAATGAAAAAAACAGCCACTCTTTCAGTCCTTTTTGGGAATTTTAATTTATATAATGTAGCTGTCCTTGTCAAAGCTGTTTAAAAATCAGAAAATGATTTGCAACTGAGGCTCTGACCTCTTCATCAAACACCCACTGCCTCTTTGGATCAACCACCAGACTCCACTCCGTAGCTTCCCTTGCAGTTAGGAGCGAGGGGCCGCACGGGCAGGATCTGGCCAGTGAGACGGGAGAGAGAGGATGGGAGGGAAGCCCTTACTAGGCCAAGGCCAGAGGAAGCAGGTGGGTTCCCTCCATTCTGTTTCCCCGTCTGCTGGAGGCAGATGACCATGAGGCCCTGAGAGCGGTGGGAGCACAGACTGAAGGAGCCTGAACCCCTGGGGGAAGAGAGATGCCCTTCACCGGAAGTGCCCACCCAGGCTCTTAAGTCAGCAAGAAGTCAGAGCCTGGTGCCAGGCAACTGAAAGAGTGGGGCCTGCTCCATCCTGGGCATGAGTCCACCCTAATGCCCAACACAGCTAAAGGTGAGTCACGGCCAAGCAGGTCCAGAAAGGTGTGAGGTGAGACATGCCCGCTGCTGATCCATTTTGATCTCACTCAGCTTGTCCTTAGACTGGTGGCTCCCCAACTGTAGGGTCACCAGAGCACCAGAGCACCGGGGAACTCTCAACACAGAGTCCAGGGCTGGAGGGGCTAAATCAGTACAGCTGGAATGGAGCCCAGGAATCACAAATCTTTTACATTCCTCAGGAAACACGGACACTCAGAAACTGCTGGGGATGATGATTGCTATGGAATGCTTGGGGCAGTAGGCGGGCTTCCTGATTTCAATTTTAAACACATATCAATCAATTTACTTCTAGGAATCATTTGAAATAAAAGCACTAGTACAGAAAGCTATAAAGATGTTGATTGAAATACTGTTTAAAATAATTTTTGTTAAAAAAAACAGAACCCAGCTATCTGTCATCAGGGGAAGATTTGAATAAATTATGGCCCACCCACATAATAAGCTGCTAAGTTCTAACATTCAATATTTCACCCAGAGATTTGAAAGTCCCTTGACATGAAAGCAATTTGGTTATCTGAAATACAATTTAGGTATTATATCATTAAGAAAATAAGTCGGGCTGGGGATGTGGCTCAAGTGGTAGCATGCTCGTCTGGCATGCGCAGGGTCAGAACCACATAAAAATAAAATAAAAGTAAGATAGATGTCTTATAGATAGAGGTAAAGATTTCTATCTATATGTTGGATATATATGTATTCTTACCTATCTACATATAAATCTAAACAAAATGATAGATCAATATAAGATTTAAAGATATATAGCTTATATATAAATATGTAGGCAGATATAGAAATACACAAAAATCTCTATCTCTACATATCTATAGATACATAGATTTGTATCTACAGATATAGATATGAAAATACAGACAAGGTATACATGTGTCATATATACCAAAGACATGTAGATATAGAAATATAGACAAGCTATAAAGATATGTATGGCTTTATATCAATAGTTATAGAAATATGGATAAGATATAAAGATATTCTTATGGATAAATATAGAAAATATATGGAACATTTACACCAAATTGAGGCCATTCATTCCAGGGATTGGGACTAGAAGAATGAAGCAGAAAGAGGATATTTAAATTTCTTTTAAACTTTTATACTCCTGTGTTCATTGTTTGAATTCTTACAGTACATGGACGTTACTCCTATAATTTAAAAAACAAGTATCTTTGGCAAAAAGCAAAACCACCTTTCTGTTAGTCTGGGCTCGGGAACCAGCTGGTCTTTCCCACTTAGCCCAGCCCAGGGTGCACCAGCTAGGTCCTCCCCAGCACCTGGTGGGAAGGCACACAGCCAATAGGGCACTGGATCCACCCAGCATGGGGACAGGCGCCTCCTCCAAGATCCTGTTCTTGGCCCAAACTAGAGCTTCTCAGAGTGGGTTCCATCTCCCACTAGCCGTGGGAGGCAATTTTCCAACCAGGCTTCTGTGGCCAAATACATGTGAGGGAATGTTCCTCTTACTCTCCCTTGCGCCTCTGAGTTGACCAGGACATTAGCAGGTGCAAGGTTTGGAGAAGTCCCAAGACATACAGAAAACTGTTTAACTTCAGTGTTTCCCAAACTAGCTGACAAAGAAGCTTTTTTCACACATCAACATTTTCCTTCCACTTTTACTGCAATCAGGAAATCTTAGAAAGCATCCAAGCAACGAGCCTCTATAGGGGAACTGCCTAATCCTAGAACCTAGGCCACAGACGGGGATGGGAGAGTTCTGAGCCGTGGTGGGAGAGGTCTGGGGCCTGCCTCCCGAGGAGCTGCTCTCATTCTAGGAGCTTGAACAGCACCGTAAACTCCTGGCAGCTGGATCCAGTCAGCACTGTGTGCAGGACGGAGCACACACGATGCTGTATCATTTACAGTTTGCCACTCATTCCCTCTTCATCCCTCTGGGGAGGCTTAGGGTTAAGTACCCTTATCTGAAATGTTTCTGACCATAAGTGTTCAGATTTTGGGTTTTCTAAAATTTTGGAATACTTGCATCTACATTATGAGATATCTTGGGGATGTGGTCTGAGTCCAAACAAGAAATCGTTTGAAGGTAATGACATGCAGTATTTTAGTGCAGCTGCGTTGGGACTGGGACCTGTCATATGAGGTCAGGTGTGGGATTCTCCACTGGGGTGTCATGTCAATGCCCAGGTAATTTTGGATTTTCAGATCAGCGATGCTCAACCTGTATACGTCCTTCAATCTCCACCCTGCAAGGATAGAAGAGAGCTGGGCATCTTGAAATTCTCGAGAAGAGCTGACCTTCAGTGTGCATGTAGAGAACTCAGGCAGGTGAACTCTAGTCCCCACAGAACAGCCTTCCCCGCAGTCTGCCCCATGGTGGCCCACTCCCCTCCAAGGCTTACCGTGCTGTCCTGAAGGTACTGCTCCCAGATCCTGGCTGTCAGCCCCTGGCCAGCATCACAGGGCAAGTCCGGAGACACGATCATGTGATTGACCAGGGCTGACAGGTGGGTCCTCACGGTGGACAGGTGTCTGCAGTAGGCGAGCCCTATTGCAGAGGGAAGGGACGTGTCACCCTCTGCCATTCGGTGCCCCCGGCTGGCTCATGGAGTCTTCAAGGTGGTGTCTCTCTCCCCAGCTAATTGAACCTCCATGTCCTGCAAATTCTCATCACCCGCTTTCCCACAAAAGGAAAGTGAAGCCCAGAGGGGTGATGTCACTTGGTGGCTTGACTGCTCAGCCCTAGGGAAGTTCTGTCGCCTTTCTCAGCCTCAGTCAGGGTGATGCTAGCCTACTGGGTTGGAATCCAATGCATTTAACTGACAGGCTGCAGGCAGGGAAGGATTGGGAAGGAAGAGGGCCAGGGACCCCTCGCACTCACTGTGCCTCTGTCTCCAATCCTTACAGATAGAGAGAATGACAGACTCCTGCTCAGACTACAGCTGGACAAAGAAAGTCCCAGCAAGCCAGTGACCTGGAGATGCTGAGGGCACCCAGTTTGCTTTCCAGGATGGACCTGTCACCTTAAAGGTATGTTTGCCACCCCTTGTCTGCTGTAATCTGGGCCCCCGAGGGTGCCTGGAATCCAAGAAGTTCCTGGCAAATGCCAGCTCATGCCCTTCTTTTTTTTTTTTTTTTTTTGGTGCTGGGGATTGAACCCAGGGCCCTGTGCATGCAAGGCAAGCACTCTACTAACTGAGCACTAGCCCCAGCCCCTAGCTCATGCCCTTTGCTGACGGTGTCCCTTCCTCCTGGCTCTGTCCAGCAGCTCATCACCAATTCCCAGAGAGAAACTGACCTTCTAGAGCATGAGGATTCACCCCCACCAACAGCAGGAAGGTACAACGATGGTGGTGGCCACAGAATGTCCAACACTCACACAGCACATGATGCTACACAGCACGGACATCCAGGGGCTGTTCCCTGAGTTTCCAAAGCTATTTCTCACCACGACCCCAGGAAGCAGGTATTGGCACCTTCCTCATTTTATAGATGGGTAAACTGAGGCACACACTGGTTACACATTAACCCATCTCTCCAGGAAGTTCAGGGTTGGGATTTGTCCCAGGCCTCCTCGTTTGAATCTGGGCTCTCAACAGGCATCAAGGATGCGACATATTGTCATATGATCACCTCGTTTCAGACTCATCTCAACCCCTGCCCTTCCTCCAGGAAGATCCTGCACTTGGGTCTAATAAACACCTGCACAGCGCCCACTCCACGCCACGCTCTGCATCAGGCACTGGGGATGGTGGCCACAGGATAGGCAAGAACCTCAGCCGAGCGGACCTTCCACTCCCTGTCCCCTGGGCACTCAGAGATGATGAGCACCCAGGCAGCCATCCAGGTTTCTGTGGCCAAATACATTTGAAGGATGTTCCTCTTACTCTCCCATGGCCTCAGTTTCTTGAGTGTGACAGGGATAGTCCCGAAGAATACAGAAAATTGTTTAACTTCAACATTTCCCAAACTAGTTGACAAGGAAACTGTTTTCCAACATCAACATGCAGGCCCATGCAGGGTGTAATTAAAACTCCTCTAGAATCCCTAATAATGCATGCTTGATCTCCCCCAGCTAGGCTATGAGGTTTGGGAAATAAAATGTGCTGAGAAACAAGACAGAGAGAAAAACTAAGCTTGTTAACTGTGTGACCCTAGACAAATCACTTTGCCTCTCTGTGCCTTGTCTAATTAATGGGAATAACCAGAATATTTGTGTTATTAGTTTTAATTTTTAAGTTTGGGGGATGGGATCAGGTCACCTTTCTCTTCTGCTGTGGAGTGGAACTGACATCTACTGAGCACCTACAACATGCAAGACTAGAGGCCAAAGACTTTACACATGCTTCTCATTCCATCCTGACACACCCTCCGGGTGGGACCTTAGAATGCAATGGTGACCAGATCCAGCCTCCCCTCCCAGGGTCCCCAGTCCACTGCCTTCTCTTAGGACCCAGAGATAAAATTTATCCCTGATCTGTAGATGAGCAAACTGTGCCTGAAACCAGATATCTAGAGGATAGGGATGTTCAAACTCCAGAGCCAGGTTCTGTCCCCTGGTATTTCTGGCATACAGTAGGCACTCAATACATGCTCCTTGGAGACCACACCAGCAATGAAGAGCTATACGTACATCCATAAAAGGCTCTGGAGAGGATCTGGTACTTCATGTTGTCACAGAGCAGCTTCAGAGGAGCCCTGCGGGGGGGGGGGGGGGGGGGGGGGGGAGGGCGGGGGGAAGGAAGATGCTCACATGAGGTGCCCGTGGCCCAGGTTTGCTGAAGAGGACCACGACCCACTCTCTCAGGGGACCCAAGAGTGGCCTCCTGTGATTTCCATACAGCTGCATCGCCCTTCTTATCAGAACCCCAGATTTCCTCTGAGGTATCACCTCTCCCCTAAGCCTCTGTCCCTGTGGTCTGGATGGGACAAAGGACTCTACCTAGTACGGGACCCAGGCTGAAGTCACAGTGATTGGCTCAGAGATGGTCACGTGGGCCAATGAGAATCAGCCTTGGGACTGTTTGTTGTTGGAAATAGTCGCTGTATTTTTATCTCCCGTCTTAATTTCTAAGCCAGCAAAATACATGCTCATGGCTGCGGGGGTCACCTTTGCCATTGTGAAGGGAGGGTCTGCCTGAGACCAGAGTGTGGCACTAGCATAGAGGCCCGCAGAGGCGACGCCTGAGGACGCAGACGGGCTTCCTGCAGTGGGCACCTGCACTCGGCCAGGCCTGAGGCCGCTTGCCTTGAACCTCTTAGTTATGCCAACACTTTTATTTTCTTCTTCAATCGGTTTGAAGAGGGTTTCTGTCACTTTCTTCAAGTGACCCAAACTGAGCTACACTGGGATTCAGTGGGGATGACCGCAAAGCAGGTGATGCCACTCGGCTTCCCCTTGCGTGGTCACTTCTAGGCGCTGTTTTGGGTGAGTGGGGAGTAAACCCTCACTCCCAGCATTGCTGAAAACCACAGGAACCACCAAAGGAGTGCGGTACACTCCTGCAGAGCACAGAGCACAACTATGGCCGTGTATGTACTCAGGACATCCCAGGGAACACCCAGAAAAACCCAGGGAGGCTGGAGAGGAAATGCAGCTCAATCTCCAGCTATGCACCTGGGAAAATGTCCTCTTTGTGCCCTCAGGGTGGCGAGGCTGACTTGGTCAGGTTGCAGGAGAACAGCACCACACTGACCAGTGTCCCACAGCAGGTAGTGAGCTCCCCACCGCTATGGACACGCAAGCAGATGCTATCAGAGAGTGTGTTGGGGAAAGCGGCATTTCTCAATGCCCCATGGAGGTGACAGTCCAGCCCGAGACACTCGGGGTTTCTCTGACATGTGAATTCCTGGGCCCTGCAGAGTCCTCAATCAGGATCTCTAGGAAGAAGTCCTAGAATCCGTACGTTTTGCTACCGCCCCAGGTGACTGAGGCACATTAAAGTTTGAGACTCTCCAGTTGTATCCAGGGCTTCTAACCCTTACATGCCGACAAGTGGTCTTAGAGGTGTTAAATACAGGTTCTGATTCAATGGGTTTGGGATAACAAGCTGAGAATCTGCCCAGGTGCGGCTGCTGGTCACAGACTGGAAAGCCGGGGGTGAGGGGGCTTTGAAGATCTGACGCTGGCCCCCAGCCCTCGAGTCCCATTCCCTCACACTGTGACGGGCTGAAGACTGGACACCACAGGGAAGAAGGCCAGCAAGGACAGGGGGAAGGGAGTCTCCCTGGCCACACCAAGCGGGGCCAGTGGGAAACTAGACCAAGCTCATGAATGGCCGAATAGTTCCAAAGAGACAAGAGCTCTGTGGGTAAGGACAGAGGTGAACTTGAGCTTTAACTTGGAACAAGAAAACAGTGTCATTTACTGAACACTGCCACGTGTCAGGTTCTGTGTGCTGGCCACCTTAAAACATTATTCTATTTGTTCCTCATAATCATATAAGGGAAGAATTTTGTGGAGGGTCAAACTGAGGAGGTATTTGTCTTTAAGTGATATTTTTGGTTTCTTCCTTCCAGGCGCCTGGTAGGGCTGTACTTCCTGGTTTCCTGTGGGTGGGGCCAATGGTTGGAAGAGGAAATTATAAGTAATCATTTTTGGTGGGACACTTATTGTTGATTCAAGGCCCGCCAGAGCTACCATTGCCTGTCACCTGGGACTGGCAACATCCAGCAGTGCTGCCCTTTAATATGCAGAGAGCAGAGTTCCTGGCCCACCATGAGGGACACACAATGCAGGATAAAATGTTTGCTGTAAGTTACACTCAGGGTTCAGGGGTATTTGTTCCTATGGCTCGATCTTGCTTATCCTGACTGAACCACGTGAGTGACTTCCCACAGCTAGAACTACACCAGGGCCAGCATTTAATCCAGCTCTGGTTGATTCCACAGCTCGTGTTCCCTCCTCCAGATTCAGTGCATCCACCAAGCTCTGGGTAACCCTTCAGCCTCTCCCCACCATAGCGCGAGCCCCTCCTACCTCTCATGGTTGCAGCCATTGGTTGAGCTGCCACCAGCTGAACCACTCTGAGAACAGGACGAGCAGGAGGATTTCCGGGGGCTGGGTTGCCATAGGGATGGGAGGTTGTTCACGGAGACATCCATCAGATCCTGGGGGACTGTGGGGTGTAGAAGAAGGGGCAAAGGAAGAGCCCTGGTTAAGTCTGTGTAGGCCACAGAAACCCCCTCCCCACAGCGAGCAGCTCCCCGCACCCTCCAGGCTGGCACAGAGAAAGGGAAAGGCCCTGAAAGAGACCGGGAAAGAATGATCCAGATCACAGTCCAACTGAGGCCCCCCGAGCCCCCTGATCCAATAAAAGCCACCACCAAGACCTGGAGGCCCCAAGAGACGGCAGAGCTGCCCCAGATGATGGCCAGAGAGGAAGAGAATAGAGACCAGAACCACCTAAACAGGGGGCCACGCCTCGCCATGTTGTCATTCAGCTGTGCCCACAGGACGCTGAGGGGAAGCAGGAGAGCCTCCTGGGTGCTTCTGAGAAGGCCGAGGGCTCAAGTCCCCAGAGAGGGCCTCCTGGGGAGCTCCTGGTGGTCAGATAGGAGGGAGCCTGACTCCACTGAGGAGGCAGAGCACCTCAGGGCAAGAGAGCAGTGGATGGGGGAGGCCATGTGGGTGCTGTCCATGGTCCTGAGCCAGAAAGCTGCTCCGCTAAGCGAGTGCAGACGGGTTGGCGATCCCCAAGATCAAAATGCCACATGCCCATCCTGTACACTTGACCTTCTGAATTAACCCCCTGGAGATAGATCCCTCAAATATATATATATTTGTACCAGGGCGCTTAGCCACCGAGCATCACCCCCAGCCCTTTTTATTTTTTGAGACTAGATCTTGCCAAGTTGCTCAGGGCCTTGCTGTTGTTGCTGAGTCTGGCTTTGAACAGTCTGCGGGGTGGGAAGTATTTTAGGCTTGTGAGCCATCTGGTCTATGTCCTCAACACTCAACTCTGCTCTCACAGTGTAAAAGTCACCATGCATTTCGTAATGTCAACAGAGGGGCCCGGGTGTGCTCCAAGGCAACTTTGTTGATGGACACTGAAATGTGAGCTTTGCATCATTTTCACAAGTCATAAAATATCACTCTTTTTATTCTTTCAATCACTGAAACAAATAAAAACCATCCTCAGCTCAGAGATGTACAGAACGAGGCTGGATTTGGCCCTTGGGTTATGGTTTTCTTATTCTCATTTCAGGAACTCAGAGAGGTGCACATTTCCCCATATGCCATGGCTCCTGGCCAACTCGTCCTATCTCAGCTCTCCCCTAGAGCTTTATTGGGAGAGAGAGCTGGGGGCCTGACCCCACTGGTCATCAGAGCTCGGCAGCCAGCAGGGTCTGCCTCTGCCCACGGACAGAGAAGGAAGCTGCCCACAGAACATGGTTCTTGCAGCCACCCAAGGTGGCGCATCACAGTCTTCCGCCCCATGCAGACTCACCAATGAGACGGCCAAGAGAGGCCAGTGATTCCTGTAGTCTGTTCTAGAAAAACATCCCCAGTTCCTCGCCAGTCTCAGGGAAGCACTGATTGGCTCAGCCCACGTGGGGACAATCCTGGCTCCATCCCAGCCCCTCACCCTGGTAGACTTCACCAAGGGATCCCTTCACAGCTGGACCCACAGGGCTGCCAGCTGTCTGTTTCAGGTGGACAGCTGGGGCATCGGTTGCACCTTCCTTCCATCTCCCTTGGACCAAGACTCAAATGACAACATGGCAGAGGTGGCTGGGACCCAGCCCCGGGGGAAGTGGGGAGCCCAGACATTACAGGGGGGCTGCTCCTTCAGGCCTGGTGTGGGGAGGGCGGTATTCCATCTGGTTCGTGCCCACCGACTCCCCCTGGCCACTACCAGCGTGGACTGACCAGCAGCAATCATCATCCAGGCGGGGCCCACAGAGATGGGGCAAGCGCTGGCCAAGAGGTCGGGGGCAGCTTGAAACAAAACAGAAAGCACTAGTGAAGGAGAGGTGTGGGGTGGGGCAGGAGACTGCCACAAGAACTAGTGCCTTGGGGCTCGAACCGTCCCCGTCCTGCTCTCCACAGCCACCGCCCCCATGCATACTGAGTTTGATTAGAGGAAGAAAGAATGCTCGTGTTTATAAAGTGACTGCTCCGCATGGGTGATGGGCTGGGCCGTGCTCTGTCTTATGGTCACAGTGAACCTCTAAGGGGGGCATTTGTTTTCTCACTTGGCAGAAGTAACTGAGGAACAGAGATGTGCACATTTTCCCCATGGCTCCTGGGCGACTCCTCCTATCTCGGCTCTCCCCTGTTGAGGGTCTGAATGATGATAGGATTTTGTCACCCTAAGACCCATCAAGGAGTGACTGGCAAAGCTGGACGTTTTGACTGAAGTCCCCCTTCTCCTTCCTCTAATGACAGTGGTCTCTCACTGAGCGCAGGTACCCTCATCATCCTCTTTAACAGACTTGGAAACTGAGGCACATAGAGTGACATGCCCAAGGCTCTCCAGCTAGTGAATTGAATTCCAATCTAGGAGCCCGACTCTAAGCTTTAACCCCGACCCCCACTGCTGTTTCCCACTGGCTCCTGTCTCCCCACCCATCGGCTCTCAACGGGACGGTTCTGGAGACTCTTGAGACTTCAGCTGTCAACACTTGCAGAAAAGCTCAATGCTCTGAGCACCTAGTGGCTGGAGGCCAGGGGCACTGTGCAACACCCCCCAACACACAAGACAGCCTCACACTCAAAGAATTATTCGGCTCCCCAGGCCAACAGTGCTGAGGTTGAGAAGTCTGCCCCAGGCCAGCACTGTCCAAGGGAATATGGAAGAGCCATGCATAGAATTCAAATATGCCCAGTAGCCATGTTAAACAGGTGAAAACAGTCCCAATAATTTCAACCCAACATTTCCAAAATGTTATCCTTTCAACATATAATCAATATAAAATTATTCATGCAAAAATACACATTCTCTTTTTCTCATATAAAGTCTTCAAAATCTGGGGCATGTTTTGCACCCACAGTACGCCTCACGCTTCAACTTCACCAGCCACACCTTCCGAGTGCTTGGTTGGCACATGTGCCTTGTGGCCACCGCAGCACAGACAACCTCAGCAAGAGAGGAGCCTGGAAGGCCAGGATCTGACCGTGACCTGTCCGCACTGTAGTACTGGTTTTTGCCCCTCTGTGCACAAAGACAGGCCAGAGATCCAGTGGTGGGGACAGGAGCATATGACAGGGGGAGGCAGTGTAGAAGCAGCTAAGCCACGTCTTCCCTCCCGCATGGAGAAGTAATCGTCTTCCTCTTTAAGGCAAACATCTGCATGGTTTCTCCACAAAGAGCCAGATAATATGTATTTTTGGCCTGGGGCCATCTGAGCTCTGTCACAATTATTGAACCCTGCTGTTGTGGCATGACAGACCATATGTGAATGAACGAATATGGCCGTGTTCCAATAAAACGTTATTTGCAAAATGTGGCCCACAGGAAGAGGTGTGTTGATTTTTGATTTTTCTAAATTGGTAACGCTGTGTGGCTCAGGCCCCTGAGAATTCCAACCAAGGATGGGGGTGGGGTCACCATTTTGAGGGCTGCCTCTGACCTCAAGGTTGAAGAAGGTGAAAGTACTTTGCCCTCTCCCCCACCATCAGGACCATAGGCATGGAGTGGCGCTTAGAGGCACAGGTGCTGGAGGCACCTGTGTGCAAAGCCCAGCCGTGCCCCAAACCAGCTGAGTGACCTTGGATCAGTTGATTTACCTTTCTGTGCCTCAGTTTTCTCCTCTGCACAACAGGGAATGGTGATGACATCCTGCTCGGGAGAGCTACGCTGGGGGTGAGGTGAATTAAGACACAGCGAGTGCAGAAGTGGGCCTGGCACGTGTGGCACTCAGTACAGGAGACCTGCGATTGGGACCTGAGCATCCACTAAGGAATGGGCCTGCATCTGGTGAAAGGTGTTTCACAAATCATCGTTCTGACCCCTCAGAATTTGACCCAGGGTGGGGGGCTGTGTTGTCATCCTGTCCTCCAGGCAAGGAAGGGAGACCTGAACAGGAAGGACCCCGTGAGTGTCCTGCAGTGGCAGAGCAGTATCCAGTGATGGTTTCTTTTCTGGAAACCAGTGGTTCTCAAGCAGGGGCAATTTTGCAACCCATCTGCCCACCGAGATGACACATGGCAATGTCTGGAGACATTTCTTGTTGTCACAACTTGGAGGAACATGAGAGCTTTGCTACTTGGCATCCAGGGTCTGAGCCCAGGGATGTGGCCAGCATCCTCCATGCACAGGACAAGCCCATCCTGTGAAGGGTACTTCCAGCCTCACCTCAGCAGAGCCAAGGTGGAGGGGCCCTGTCCCACATACGCTGCGTCATCAGGATTCCTCAAAGGTAGGCAGGGACCCCAAGTCGATTATCTGGGAGATGCTCTTAAGAAGCATGGATAGCAGAGAGGTGAGCGAGATAGGCCAGGAAGGGCCAGGAGTGGAGGGTATGACCAGGCAGGTTTCCACGAGGGGCAACTGTGCCCGATGGCCTTGGGGACCTTGAGGGGCTGTGCAAAGCATGCACATTTCAGAGCTTGCTCACCCGAGGGCCGAGGGAGCTGGGATCTGCACACCAACCTGGTTAGCCATGGGCCAGAGGAGTCTCCAGGGAGATGCTGATTCCCTGACATTTCCAACGTGCCTCGCTCACGGAGAAGGGAGCCTGGTGGCAGAGAAGCCTTTCCACCAAGCAGACACCTCCATGGGAGATGGCAGTTAAACCACAGGCCCAGAATGGGAGGCGCCAAGGACTGTGGGTGAGCCGGGCTGGCCTCTGTTCCTGGCCACAGGATCCCCAACAGGATACAGCACAAACATCCCTCAAATAAGCATCCAGCACCAGCCTGGTTCCCGGCAGGAGTAGGCAAATTATTTGTTGGGTGAGAATCCGCAGGAAGCATTTCCTGGGAAGAGCCCCAGGGATCTGGCCTCTCTGATACAAGGCTCACCAGGGGGTGTCCTAATGTCAGTCTTCAGGATGGAGCCCAGGTTCTTGGGAAAGGGAACAGAAGCCAGCTCCCCATCCTGGGGGATTCTGCTCTCAGCACTGGGCCAGCACAGCCTTGGGGTACGGCCAGTGCTACCTGAGAGACCTGCTCCCACGGGGAGGCCTAATGCTGGGTAGCAGTGGCCATGGACACCTGAGTGAGGTGGGAACAAGGCTTTGCTGAGCTCTGAAAGAACATCATGGCGGCGGGGGGGGGGGGGGCAGGGGGCGGAGCACAGGCTAATGCAAGAGACACGATACCTGACCGCCAGGCCTGCCCCGGGCCCAGTGGTGCTTGGCCAAAGAGGAGAGCCAGGAAAGTAAGGGGCCTGGCTCCATGAGCCCCCTGCCAGGGAGGACATCTGTCTGCTTTCCGAAGAGCCTCTCACTGCTCAGCACAGGGTCGCTTATGCAAAGGGAGGCTCAGGGCCACTGTCCCTCAAATGGGATCAACATGCATGCAGAGGTCTAAACAAACGAGCCTAACAGAAAAGAAGCTGTAACTCAGAACTACTTTAACAGACACCAGAGAGGGCCGCCTAAGTGCCAGGCCCCTTATGAGTGCTGCACAGGTTCATTCACAGTGTTCGCACGCCCCCCGCCCCATCATGGTGAGCCACCCTGGGCAGAGCATCTTCTCACAGCAGTCACCATAAGGACCGCAGGGCATCTGCCGTGACCTGGTGACAGTGCCGCTGCTCGCCTCCCCACTGCCGTTCTCACCACCGCTCATCGCGGTTACCACGGCAAGACGCCCCCCCCCAACGCGCTGCTCTCATCACCCCCTCATGTCACCGAAATTTTGACTTGAAGTGAACATCGCAAGGCGGACAGGAGGGCAGCTAACATTCGAGTCGTCTTTAGGTGCCGAAGGCCCTGTCCGGGTCCCTTCTCCCAGCAACCCTATGAGACAGGTGCTGCAAACAGCCCCACTTACAGCTGAGGACACGGAGGAACATGGAGTGAAGTGACTTGCTAGGTGCAGCTTGGATTCCAAGGCCATGCCACTGTCACTACCCCGTGTTGCTTCCTGTCTAGTGGCATCTCTGTGAGCAGGTGGATGGAGCTGAGGCTACCAAGATACTGACTTCCAGGTCCCAGGTCCCCGGCCAGCCCCAGAATCCTGACACCTTGTCTTCTTGTTCCAAACGCCTGGGGCTGTTCCCAGGTTCAGGTGGCAAGTGGACCCCTGGGCCGGGCCAGGCGGCTTACCAAATTCAGACTGCGAGCCAGGGTAGATGATCCGGAACACATAATCTGTGGCCTCCTCATCCTCCTTGTCTGAAGATGTGGACTCCGAGGAACCCTGAGGGCTTCTCTTGCGCAGCTTGGGAAACACTTTGCCCTGGAAGGACACGTCCCAGTGAAAGGACACAGCTGTCCTCAAACCTGCACAGCCTAAGGGTCTCGGTGGGGTGTGCACCAGCCCGCGAAGCCACATAAGGGCCCACACCCCTAAGGCCACTCACCTTTCCCCGCTGGGACCAGAGAGGCGGGTCCAGCTGCCCGTGGGGAAGCAGCCCGTTCTCCAGGCACGAGAGGAACTGCAGGAGGTGCCCGCCCTTGGGGAAGCGGAAGGGCGGCCTCTGGATCCCATCCTGGCTGACCAACACCACTGTCCCGCCGCTGTCCACTGCCACCATGACCAGCAGAGAAGACCCAGTGGGAAGTCACTATGAGGCATGGTGACAAGCCCCCAACTCTGCAAATACATGTCCCCAGAGGTGCCCAGCCAGACCAAGCATCTGAGGCTCTGGGCCAGGCCTGGGCAAAAGGTCAGGGCAGGTTTCACCTCTCCCGTGTCCCACCCATCCCACCCACCATCCACCTGGATGGGGAGCTACAGGACAAGGTCAGGAACAGTGTGGTGGCCTCCCTAAAGTTACCTGCCAAAGGAAAGATGCCCTGAAACACCCACGCTCCTCCAGAACCTGCTGCAAATCCACCTGGCTCACTGGGGAATGGGGTGTCCAGATTTCACCCCTCTCAGGCCCCTAGGTGACTCTGGCTAGTGTGGGGGACATTTCCTGTGCACCAGCACAATACCTATGAGAACTGTCTTGTCCAACACTCACGATATCCCCATGAGGCCGATCTACTACTTTACAAATGAAACCCAGCCTCCAAGAGGGTAAGTTACTTCCTCAAGGTCACAGATCTGGACCCAGGTCCGTCTTAGGAGTTGAGCTGCAGTGTCTCACACCTCCGTGAGACACAGGCCACTCGCCTCCTAAAGCAGGACGGCCATCTGCCTCTTTTGACTGTAGCTTCTTCTGACTTTAAAGAACCACCGAGGAGCACTGACTTTGGAGTCACAAAGACCTGGTTTGAGTCCAGGCTCTGGAGCTTACAGGGTGTGTGGCTTTGTGTCAGGTGGCTTCTTCACCTCTAAAATGGGAGTACACCTCTCACTGGGTTGTCGTGACAATGAAATAATAGGCATTGCCATTTTATAGAGGGAAAACCCAGGCTCAGAGAGGTACAGCCACTTGCTTGAAGTTGCACAGGTAACAGGATGTCCACCCACATTATCTTATGAGGCTAATGAACAATCAGAGCTAAAGGCAGCAGGGCATCCAAGAGGAATACCACCAGTCCCGTGATCTCCTGTGGTCCCTACCTTGCTGGTGACAGTGCAGGTAGACAATCTCCTCCAAGCGGATGGTCATGGCGTAGTCCCAGTAGACACTGGAAGGGAGAGAGGCGAGGCTTGTAGGAAGGCCACCTACCTTATGGTGGGCAGGGGCTTTGGAAGCCAGAGGACCACTCCTGAGGTCCTCCCTTGTCCCCAACTTTGGTGTCCCAGCCTTTCTCCTCTTCTTTTGGTTCCAGAGCCTCAGTTTCTGAAGGAAGCGTCTTCCCTGGCCCATGTGGCCCAGGTAGGATGAACCCACGACTCTCTACCCCAGGACTCCAGCAATGATCACCTGACCCAGGCCTGGCCAATCAGCACGCTCCACTGTCCAGTGACAGTGACTGGTGCAGGATGGCCCATGACCCAAGCAGAACCCTTGAAACCCAGTGATCAAAATCATATCTGAGGGGCTGGGGTCGTGGCTCAGCGGTAGAGCACTTGCTTAGCATGTGCCAGGCCCTGGGTTCGATCTTCAGCACCACATAAAAGTAAATAAAATAAAGGTATTGTGTCCAACTACAACTAAAAAGTTAAAAAAAAAAAAAAAAAATATATATATATATATATATATATATATATATATATATATATCTATATCTGAATTACTGCTTCCAGCTGAGCTATTAGGAACAACGCTACAGTGGACATTTGTGTATAAGCTTTTGTGTAGGTAAGTTATCATGCTCCTGGGTAGATCCCTAGGCATGGAGGTGCTGGGGCCTCTGAACGGATGAACCTGCCAAAGGGTACAGCGGTTCTCCCACTTCACTGCTCCACACAGCAGAGCAGGGACAGGGGCAAGCCCAGTCTGACTCCAGAGCCTGAGTAGCCACCTCTTGGGGATATTTCTTCTCTAACACTAAGAAGCCCAGCTGGGGAGTTATGACCATGGTTGTGCAAGAGGAGGTGATGGCTGGAAAAAGAGAGAAGAGCTCCTGTGCTTTCCCAGAAGGACCACCCCCTTTGTCTTCAGTGTCTCTTAGTCCCAAAGGGGATGCTGAAGCCCCTGGTCGTCTCCCGTCCCCGCACTCCAACCTCATGTTTCTGATTCCTGCCTGTTTCTCTCTTCCAACTGAGGCTCTGGTTGAGAATAACAAGGTGGCAGGGAGTTCAGAGCTCAGAGATGTGGACATCCCCAACCCCAGGATGGTGACCTTGAAGGTCCAGATTTAGTTGAAACTCAATTTTGCAGCATCTACGTCGCGCCTGTTCACAGAGGAAGATGATGTGGAAACGCGGAGCCCCTGGTGGCAGGAGCTGGAGCAGTGGGGGATGAGCTGGCCAGGGCCTTTCTCCAAGCTGGCATCACAGGTTTCCCACCCACACACTCCTGGGCCTCCATCCAAGTGAAGAGCAGGGTCCTGGGGCTGTTTAAAGCTTTAGGAAGAACATGCCTCGGGGGTGTAGAAGCACTTATTAGACCCTCTGGGAATCCCTTGAATTCTGGGGAGACCATCTTGTTCAACTCCTTCACTGAAGAGGAAGGGGAAACTGAGGCTCAGAGAGGTGGAGTGACATACTCTGGGTCACCCAGCAAGGTGAGGGCTGGGCAAGGACCTTGTGTACTTGGTTATTTCTTTTCTTCCCCAGCATAATTTGAGCTCTGAGAAGGTAAGGATATTGCTTTCCTTTGATTGACTTGCTAGTGCCTTGTGTCTAGAACAGTCACAGGGAGGGTGCTCAGTAAATATGTAACAAGTAGGTTTTCTGAGCTCCTACTGCGTGCTACAATCTGCAGCGGGCATCAGGAATCAGCTGTGAGCACGGCAGGATCTTGGTCTTCAAGGAAACTGAAGTCAGGGTGAGGCAGGAGAGAGAGGAGTGTGCACAGCTGATCATGAGACTACCGTCTGGCAAATGCTACGAGGGAGATTCAGGGCTGGGGTGAGCCACTCTTGCTGGGAGGCCAGGGAAAGCTCAGTTCCAAGGTTCACGATGAAGAGGTGAGTTCCAGGCCAAGGGCCTCTCCTCAGCCCTCCACTGTTCTTCGGCGAGGGCCTCTTCATTGGAAACCCCACAGTCTGGCAGAGACAGAGTTCCCCAGCCCAGCCTGGGACCACTGGTACCTCTCACTGACCACCTCTGAGCAGGAAGTGAACAGCTAAGAAAATGCTATGAATCACCCCAAGATCTAATATGGACCCCACTGAGCTTCATATTAAGTAGAACACAATAATAGTGTTTTGGCCATGTTTCTTGAAATGAGTCCTTATTTTTTTTAACACTACATTTTAAAATGCATATGAAATCACAGGTCATCTGCAAGCTTCTAAACATGTCCAGGTAGGGGATGGTTAACGGCCAAGAGGGCTGGGGCATGGGAACCTGTGCCATGACTATTTTTATGTTAAAAATTCTTGACTGTAAAAATGCTTTTTAAGAAAATGCAAAAGAAAAAGTAGAATCTGAGGGCTGGGGTTGTAGCTCAGTGGCAGAGTGCTTGTCTAGTACAGGTGAGGCACTGGGTTTGATCCTCGGTGCCACATTAAAATAAAAATTAAAAAAAAATAAGCTTAAATTATTAAAGAAAGAGAGAATTTGATGTGGATTAGAACAGCCCAATCGCTACTTCCCCCATCAGCAGCTGGAATGACAGGTGGGCCACCTCAGCCCCATGGTTGTCCTCTGTTCTCCCTGAAGCTGTCCCTGGTTTGGCTAGAACACAGGTATTGCAGGAGGGAGCCCCAGTCTAGTGGTTCTTCCCAGTATGACTCCAAAGCCACTGCAGAGTTGCATACATCGTGGGTACCAAAGAAGAGACAGATCCAGGGACCAGAAACCCAGTAACAATGCCAGTCCCCTGTTAGGACGTGATGGGAAGGGTGGGCCGAGGCTGGCCACTATCCTGCGTTTGCAGGCTCCGTGGTCTTTGTAGACTTCCATCTCTGAGTGGTGTTCAAGCCAATGGCTACCCCCACCCCCAACACTCTTCCCTTGGTTTCTTCATCTTCCTGAGTCTCTGAGTTGCCCCTAAGGCCACAGTTGCAGGGAGGCTGGGCCAGGTCTCCATAACAACCAGGCAGAGGGGCAGACAGGGCAGGGTGCACATCTCCGCTCCCAGGTGGTGCCCAGGAGAGGGGATGGACTCGGGGTGCAGCGAGGACCCAGCAACCTACCTCTTCTCATAGTCCAGGTCCCCCATGGACCCGTTCATCAGTTGGTTGGGTGTCCACTTCAAGGTCATAATGTCAGCTGTCTGGTGCAGGGACAGGTACCCAGGTACAGCCTCCATGTCGTCCCTCTGCAGAGAGACAAGGGCTTAGGACTGGTCATGGTGTTGGAGTACATATGGCTGAAGGCCCTGACCCGTTAGACTCTGGGGTGCAGAGCAGGTTATCTGAGAAGCTGAAGTCCTCCTGAGCCTCTTTGGGTGGCCGTGCTCAGCAAAGCTGTCTGCAGCCAACCTGTGGGTGGGGCAGTACTACCAAGTACAGCTGTGAAAGCCGCCCACCATCACACTCTCCCTCTCAGGCCTAGGGGTCTTTAGAACTAGGAAGGGGGCTCTGTCCCTTTTCAAAATGGCATTTATCTGGGCCTATCTTCAGGGAGGCAGAGGTGGCAGCTGAGTTTTGTGGCCCATTCCCCAGCAACCTGCTCCTTCAGTGTCCCCAGCATGCTCTGGCCCAGCGGTCGGATCCTCCACCTTCCTAACTCCCCATAGGACTTCTCACCTGCTTTATTTTATGCCAAGTAGGAGGGATGTGTCAACATCCCTCAGACATGAAGGAGGCAGTCCCTGCACCCAATCCACCTCAACGACAGGCAGAGACCCAGCACCGTTTACTGAGCACCAAGTGCAGTTTACTGAGCCTAGGGAGCACGTCTCAGTCCTCACACACAGGCTCCGCTGAGCCCCGTGCCCCGTGGAGAAGCACCACCGCAGCCTTCCATCAATCCCAAGATGCACATTCTATTCCTTTCACATTTTAACCTCCCTAAATGGGGACATGTCTTACCCTTGATGAGAACTCACAACCATGATGCAGATGTGACTGCCTGAACTCACGCAAACTCAGTCAGAGCTGTTCAGCCTGTCCTCACTTCAATTGAGTTTTGTGCATGGCTATTATTTTGCATGAGCAGGACAGGTGCTATTTTAAACGCCTTCAGAGAGATTAGCCTGTGATTCAGCTTTGAATTGAAAAAAGTTACTATGACACAGAGAGGCTGGAACAGAGCCGCAGACTACTAACGTGATATTGGCAAAGCAGGCACGTTATTCATCCCTGCAGGGAAGCCTGTGAATCCAGATGCCCTTGTAAAACAGCAAGTGAGTGCTTCACAGGACGTCAGACCCATCTCAGAGATGAGGATGCATATTCCTGAAGAAATGCTGCACTTTCTGGGCTTGTGGGTCAGGAGGCACCACATTTTTTGTGTAAAGAAACATTTGGCTTTGTGAGCCATACAGGCTCGGCTACAACCTAACTCTGCCACCATAGCCTGAAAGCTGTGCTAGATAACACACAAACTAATGGTCATGGCTGGGTCTCAATAAAACTCTATTTATAAAAACAGGTGGAAGACCACATTTGGCCCACGGGTAATAGTGGAACAGAGAAGCATGTGGAAAAACTAGGGCATTAATGATTCTTAGCCAAAGTGATATAGAAGATTAAACTCTGGACTGCGGAGGCTTTAAGAACATCTTAGCTAATGTATTTCAATTACATTTTCTCTTGTGTGTATGAAAGAGCAATGTATGATTAAAAGACAAGCAAAAAAACCTATATCTGGTTACGTCTCAAAGACCTGATTCAAATGGGTAAGGTGAAATTGTGTAGTCAAAAAGTCCCATGTGTAATTTAAATAGCATTTTAGAAAAAAAGGCACATCTTAAAATCATGGCTTCTTAGACTTGAGCAAACAAGGTTTGTGCCCACAGAGAGCAGATACTGTGGCTAAGACGAGGAGTTGCCCAGGGTTACCCAGTGATTGACTGAAACTGCACCCACACATCTGGGTTGGCTGATGACTCACAGAGCTTCCTCCCAGCAGAGCCCAGACACTATGCTGACCCTGTGACCCAACGGCCCTGGAGAGGCGACAGCCAAAGGAGACACTGCATTAGGGCAGGGGCTGCATGTGCCCCACTGTCCCTGCACCCCTGGAGCCTGGCCAGCCTCTGGGGCATAGAAGGTGACTGATGAGTGGCACCCTTTGGCGTGAATTCAAATCATGATTCTGTCCCCTAATTCACCTGTACAGGCCTCAGTATTAGGACAGGTGAATGGGTGGGTGCAAAGGTGGTTAGATAGATGGGTGGGTGGGTAAAAATATAAACAGACGGATGGACAAATGGTGGGTGGAGCCTGGGCAGAAGGAGGCCCAGAGAGAATGGAAGAGAGCTGACTGGCTGGACAGCAGGCTAGAGATCCGGTGAGGATGGGTGGACAGATGGATGGATGGATGAATAAACAGATGAACAACCCAGAGCCAGAGGGAAAGCCTCCTCCATAACCAGGAGCAGACACTCAGAGCAAGATCTGGGTCCATGGTGGACACTCACCGGCTGAACCAGAACATTGTTCTTGCCGTAGAGCAGGGTGGCTCTGGAGTTCTGGTGCAGGGACTCCACATAGTCACGGGCAGACAGGGACGGCCGGTCGTCCATGCTTCCGCTCGAATGCCTCTTCTGGATCTGGTAGTGTGACAGGAGACAGACAGGTGGCCCTGGAGTGACTTCTACCCTGTCCCCTGGCCCTCCCACAGCCCCGCTGCCCACAGCACTCACACAGAGGGCTGGCCGCTTGCTGGGCGAGTCCTGCCGCAGGTGCGAGCTATGGATGCGGTGCCTCTGAACCAGCTCGTCGGCGGAGGGGTCGGTCCAGAAGTGGTCCGCGGTCTTCATCTTGGTGTACTCCAGGGCACAGGGCCCCACTGCAGAGCACAGGGGGCTGGGAACTGCAGCCCCAGAGAGCCCACCCTCCCAACTCCCGCAGGAGGGGCCACTCGTTCCACCACCCCTCCCCTCCAGCCAGCCGGGAAGCCCCAGAGTCCTGCAAAGAAGAGGCCAGAGGAGGCCCTGGGAGCAGGAGGCAGTGAGCAGTTTGGATGGAGGAGGCTGGAGAGGAGCCAGGGGCCCTCAGGAGGCACCCCTGAGGCCCAGGACCACACGGAAGTCAGAGCACCAGACCACTTACCCAACAAGGATGCAAGGATGGGGCCGTCCACGGGGTCCACCAGGAGAGCTTCCTTCTCATAGTATTTACTAGAAGAGGAAAGGACACGTGGGTTTGGATGGAGGCCAGCAGAGAACACATGGCTGACAAGCAGGTTCAATGCCCCACTACCCTCTTACTGCCAGAGCTTTGGCTGCCCATGTGTCAAATGGGGACAATCACGGTATATATCACAGCGATGCTGGAGGACTTTTGAGAGAAACGAGATGAACAGTATCAGCGTGGAGTTTGGTGTCCACCTGAACACACGGGGCCCTTGAGCAACAGGAGTAATGAGTGGCAGGCTGGATGATTCCACCAGGACTTCTGCTGAAGACAGGAGGTCCTGAGAGGCTCAGCTATGTCTGCCCTTCTCTCTCTGAGACAATAAAATGCCTCTTACCTGCACTGTGCTCCCAATGCTGTGCTAATAGGCCTTCCTGCCCTGACACCTCATGCTGGGAACGCCGGCCTGAGATGCTCAGAAAAGCCCCCTGAAACCCGGCTCTGCAAGGTACTATGAGGCGTCATCTAGACAAGGATCAGGCTGAATGCTTCTGCATTTGTTTGTTTGTGTGACTTACGATGGTGTCATGGTTCCTAAATCCTTGAAAACTCATGCAACCCCCAGACCAACAGAATTCAAAGTTTGGAAGGAGCCTCCCGGGGATGCTGGGTTCAGAGAGGGTAAATGACTTGCTGGAGGTGACACATGTCAGGTCACTGCATCTGCAGGGCTGTGCAGGCTTGGGCTACATCCAGTTGGCTTGGCCCTTGCTGTCACCCAGCAGTGGGTGGAGGACACGGGTGTGGGGTCAGACAGACTGCATGGGAGCCCCGCTCAGCCACTTGCCACCTTGCCGTGGCTCCCTAGGCAAGTGAATGCCCTCTCTAAGCTTCAGAGTCCTCTGCGGTAAGATGGGAATAGGAACAGAACACACCTGCACAGGTTATTCTCTCCTGTCGCCCCCCCCCCCCCCCCCCCCTTAAGGCCACAAGTGGAGTCTTCTACAGGAGAAGGAAGAAACCCAGGATCCCTTCACCCTGCCCTAAGTCAGAAGCCTATGATCTTAAACACCCAAATCATCATTTTTTTAAGCTAGCCTGGCTCAGGGTGGAACATCCAGGAGGCCTGTTTAAAATCACTTTCAGACCCACTCGCATTGTCAACGGGACAAAGAAAGACTCGAGGGTGCAATTCCCAGGACAGGCAGCAGGTGGAGGCAGAGCACACCCGGGCATCTGGCCTTCCCCCTCACCTGCTGTTTTCCACGAGGTAATGCACAATCTTGTCCAGGACCTTCTCAAACAAGGCGGTGCGGATCCACAGGTGCTTGATGGCGAGTGGGGACAGGTTGGGCAGCTTGGGCAACTTCCGAGCATTTTCCTGGAGGCCCTGGATCTGGTTTCGCCTTCAAGACCAACAAGAAAGAACAGAAACAAAAAATGAAATCCACAGGACCAATATGCAAACGGGAAAATGCTCATTCTTGCTAGAAAATGAAGGAAGGACAGTTAAACAGGAGCCCATGTTGCTCCAATCATCTGGGTCAAGTGTTGAAAAAGTAATAATCCCCAGTGAGTGTGCAGATGTGGTTCAACAGAGGGTTTCAGATGCTCTTGATACACCTCCCTCTCTCCCTGGCTCCTTCCTTCTCTCCTGGAATGTCATGCTGACCAAGAGCCTTGGACTACAGATCCTTCAGTGGCTCCCCAGTGCCCCTGCAAAGGAAGGTCTTCCCCATGACTGGCAGGGTGCTCCATGACCTGCCCCCACCTCTCCAGCAGCCCCTTACTCTACCTGCTCACTCCATGACACAGAGCACGAGAAGACTCCTGAGGCTGCCAGGCTCTCTAGAACTTTCCACATGCTGATGCCGCTTCCTGTTTTCCCTCTTGTCCCCATTCCTGGGCTGATCCCTTCTCACCCTTTGGGTCTCAGCAAGGCCATCTCCTACAGGAAGCCCTCTGGAACCAGACAAAGCTGATCTCTGCCCCCTAAGCTGTTCCATTTTCTGTGTTCCCCTCCGTTCTGTGATCTTAAGAATATGGACTAAGCATGTGGCAAGCACAGGCCCCCTTGTGTCTGTACCTCCAGGGCCCAGCATAGTGCCTGGTGTACAGGGGGATGCTCAGTAATCGTGTTCATGAATGAGTGACTGCACAAGCGAACGGATGGCTGTCCCTTACGGCCCGGCAAGGGCAGGTCCGATCCCTCCCTGGGAAGTCAGACCCACACGGTGGAAGGCCCTGTTATCTGTAATCAGCCAGGAATTCAGTAGGTGAGCTGGAAGGAACCTAAAGGTGGCTAAGAAGTCATTCCAAACGGAGCTGGCAAAGCCCAGTCCTGAGCTCTGCTCACCATTCAGTTATGGAGCAGCCCTGGACAGGCAGGGCCTGAAGGGCAAGAGCAAAAGGGGGGCCGTTTCTCCCTCAGTGGAGTGCAGTGACCAGCCTACACAGAGGTGGCAACCTTAGGGAACGATGGAGTTTGGATCTGAAACATCCCCCAGAGGTCCATGTGTCAAAGTCTTCCCCCTCAGCCTGGGGCTACTGGGAGGAGGTGGAACCTTTAGTGGGAGGGCCTGGCGGAAGGTTTTAGGTTATTAGGGAGTGCCCTCAAGCGGCCCTGTGAGATGTGGTTCTCTTCCTTCCTCCTTTAAAAAAAATTTTTTTTTTTTTTTTTTTTTTTTGCATCCTGGCCATAAAGTGAACAGCTACCGCACCATAGGCCCAGTAACAGAGTCCACTGATCAGCAAAAACACCCTCTCAAACTGTGAGCCAAAGTCAACCTTTCCTCTTTTTAAGTTAATTATGAGAGGTATTTTGTCACAGTAACAGAGAACTGACAAACACAGAGTACGTTTATCTCTCCCCTTCCCTTCCCTTGCATGTGACAGACACGGCCAATCAATCCACACACATTTTCCCAGGATGCCCAACCACGGCTTCAGAGTCCTTCATTGCAGTCTCTGGGAGCCCCAGACACAACTGGAGCGAAAACCTATTTGCCACCCCTAACCAGGCCCCAAGTTGGGGGTTTGGCTGTGCATTCAGGACTTGAGGGGGTGATTATGGCAACAGGAACCATGTGACACAGTCATTCCATAAACCTCCCCAGCTCATTAACCAGTCACCATGACAGGGGAGTGACACTCCTCCCCCTTCAATGGATGCCTCAAAGAGGGTTTTACCCAGTGGCTCCAGCAGCTGCCCCTTGCAGATGACAGCATGTTGATTCTATGAAACTTTGCATTGAGAACAGGGTGTGTGGCCCAGCACCAACTGTTTCCTGGGCATGTTCCAGGTGCTAGACACCGCCCCAGATGCTAGGGACACAATAGGGTGGCATACATGTAGCTGCCGTTTCTCATGCAGAGATGACGATCAAGTTCACAATTAAACAAGAAATAGCTAATTCCCAATGGCAGGAACAAATGGGAAGGAAGTAACCAGGTGATACGAAGTAGAAGATGGGGTGAGGGCTGGCAGTGACTGAGCTGGGGAATTCTGAATGATGACAAAAAACAGCCATGGAAGACCAAGTCGGGGAGCCTGCTGGAGGTACAGTATGTGCCAAGGCCCTGAGGTGGAAAGAGGCTGGCGGGTCTGAGGAGCAGAAAGAGTAGCAGGGGCTATGGATTCCTGAAGGGACTGGGGGTCACTCTCCAGGGGACTGACCAGCCTGGTCCCCACACTCACGTGCTCTCGATCAGCTGCTCCAGGTCCTGGACTTTGCGGCTCAGCTCCTCGGCCGGCGGAAAGCTCTTGCCCACCTTCATGAAGAGAGCCGCGATCTTGTTGCTGCGCAGGAAGCCAGCTGCCCGCCGCCGCAGCCCGTGCAGGATGCAGGCCTCCACCGCGGCTGTGGGGACATGGCGGTCAGCAGCACTGACTCTCCTGCCCATGTTCCCAGCAGGGCTCAGAGCTTCAGTCAGACATGGGCTCCTTGGACAGCCAGTCCCCAGCATCACCTGCCTCCGGCTGCCCTGCACCCCAGCCGGCTTCCCCTTCTAATGAAGCAAGAGAGTTTAGTGGGTGACCCACAGTCGTGGCTCAAGGCTGGACCACCTCTACTCAGGTCCTCTGCTGGTCACTAGCCAGCTGTGTGACTGGGCAATGACCCCCTCGGTGTCTCAGCTTCCTCACCTGGAAAGGGCAGAAGTGTGAGCATTGGCCTCAGAGCTGCTGTTACGGGAGGAGAGAATGCATGGGAGTACTTAGCAGAGCCAGGCACATAGTGGGTGCTTTATGAATGTTAGCTATAGTGCTGTCAGAGAGGGAGAGATGGGCCATGGACTGCTGAGTCTACCTGGCCACGGAATATCAATATCGATATCATCATCACTGACACTGTGTCTGTAGCACAGCTAACACGTATGGGTCTCCTTTATTCTCTGCCAGGCCAGGGAAGAAAGGAAAACTATCCTCACTCCTCAGATGTGGACACTGAGGATCAGAGAGGTGAACTGAATGGCTCAAGGCCACCCAGAAAATGAGTGATAGAGTCAGGATTCAAACCCAATCTGAGTTCAAGGTGTGCTGTACCTGAAACTCTTTTGGGGATTTCATAGCAATCTTCTCACTTCCGTTTTCCCTGGAAGTCCTTCCCAGCTCTCCTCAGAACAGGACACCTGGGTTATATATAGCCTGGTCTCTACCATTAACTCACTGTGTGACCTCATGCAAACCACTTTCCCTCTCTGGGCTGAAGGGAGTCATTCTGAGAAACTGGTCCTGTGCAGGCCATTCTGATGGCCTCTGGTACTTCTGGGAGCCCTCCATCTTCTCACCTTCTCCTCATGCCAGTATACAACAGGTACATCATTAATGCTTACTGAAAAAGCGAGTATATAACAGCAGCTACTCCTTATTGGGCACCTGCTGGGTGTCAGATGACTGTTAAGGTTTACCTCACTTAACTCTTGAGACAAAACCCACGAAGAGCCCTAGTGAGCCACGCAGGGTGGATGGCTCGGCCAAGGTCAAGAGCAAAGAGAGACAGGAAGAGGCTTTGGGTCAGTGGCTTGTCTCTGAGTTGGCAAGTACTTGTTTGAATGAATGTCCAAATCACACTGTCCACTCTGCTCATGCATTTAAAATATTTTGGGTGAAACCGTTTTTACGATCTTAATTTTAACTTGTAGGTATAAAACTTTCCACTTTGTTTATACTGAAATAAGTTGATCACCTTCAGGCTCTGTATACAGTGTTGGGTCCTTTCTGACAGAAGCTTCTAAGGAGAATGGATAAAAGAAACCTTGATGGGCCCTTCAAGCCTCCGTTGCTGCCATATGATTTCTCTCATACAGAAACTGTGGTCAGAGTTAGGGAACTATGACTATGCTTCTTATCACGTTCTCCTTCTCTAAGGCCTTAACTGATAGATATGTTAGCAAGTCTTGACATGGACATGTATGCTTTTTATTTGCAAATAAAAAAGTCCAGGAGAAAATAAAAAGCTACATAAATATAACAAAATATTAATGTTTCAAATAAACATAGATATATAATATTCTCATATATATGTACTTATTCATATGTACTCATATACACATATATGAAAATACATATAAATATATATACACCTATAAGTACCTGAGTGTGTATATATGTGTGTATATTTAAATAAACACATTCCACTTAAAAAATAAGACTTTGTGGGTGGCGGTGGCCCACACCTGCCATCCCAGGGACTCGGGAGGTTGAGGCAGGAGGATGGCAAGTTCAAAACCAGCCTCAGCAAATGTGAGGTGCTAAGCAACTCAGTGAGACTCTGTCTCTAAATAAAACACAGAACAGGTCTGGGATGTGGCTCAGTGGTCGAGGGCCCCGGAGTTCAATCCCTGATTCCTGCCCAAAGTCACCCAGCAAGAGGCAGACACAGGTCTGTCTAGGTGAAAAGCAGGTGAACTGAGCCTCTGGTCCCCCAGGTCACGCGCATGCTCAGCATATTGTGAGCCCCTGTGTGGTGTCCCAGCCATGCACATGGAGCTGGTGGGCTGGCGGGTGCCCTTGCTCAGGCTCTTCCTGGGGCCGAAGTCATAGGGAGGGGGACTGCAGCAAGCCTTCACAGGAGACACTGCCGTCATTGAAGACAAAGTTCCCAGGAAGGACGAGAATCACCCCCAGGGCGCACACTGACCTAGAGCTGAGTGCTTACTTCAGACTCACGCTAAGCCCCGTCTCTAGCCACCGTCAAAGCACAGCAGCACCTGGCAGTGCCATTATCCTGGAACCTGGCGAGCAGAGCTGGTTTAGCAGAGAAGTCTGAGTCACGCTCCGAGCACCAGACCTGTGCCTTTGCTGAGCCAGCTGGCCATGGTCCCTCGGGAGGTGTCAGCGGCTCTTCACTCCCTGTCTTTAGAAAGTCCCCAGCCACTCTGTTCTTGTACCTCGCCAGCTCACAGCAGAGCAGGGAACCAGCACGGAGGTCGCTGCTCAGGGGCCAGGACACCATGGCTAGGCGTGTGGGTGGTGCTCACGTGAAGAGCTTCAGCCACCTCTCCAGGGGGGTGTGGAAGTCACTGTCAACTGCCTCTCTCACTATTCTGCATTTCCAGGTTCTCCAACTGAGTCCCTTCAGGATCCAAAATTAACTTGGGAGTCACAATGCAAACCATGACGTGCGATTCTGGCTGGAAGACGCCTTTCCTAAGGCAGCTCCCAGGAAAGGCCGCGGGTGGCCACCGACTCACCGCAGAAGGAGATGATGTGGCTGCTGTCTTCGTGGACAAACTTGCGCGTGACGGCCTCTTCCATGATCTGCTTCACCTGCAAGGCAGACGGAAGAGACCTGTGCCACCAGGGCAGCTCCCCAGAGGGCTGTGCTGCTCCCCGGAGCCTTTCCAGGTCAGATGTCACACCAAATGTCCTCTCTTCCCTGACCACAGCAGCCCATATCCTGGCCCTTACCACGGGTCCTTCACAGTACTCACTGCCCTTCCTGTTCTTTCTCTCTATGGGCTTACTGTCTGCGCCCCCCCCCCCCCCACAGCAGACACCTCCTCTCCTGTTTTCACTGCAGTATAACCAGAACATAGTAGGTGCTCAGTAAAGATCTCAAAGAGAGGGTATTTGGATGAGTCAGGTGGGCAAATGAACCAGGAGGGGTGGCGTAGACGCTCAGCCCTGGCATCCAGTAGACCTGGGTTCGAATCTCTGCTTGGGTACCTCCCACATGGGTTTGTGAACTCACTGTGGGAAATGGAGGCTCTGCAGGGGAAGCGATTGCCCAGGGAGATGAAGCTGGCCACAGAGGGGACAGAAGTCCACATCGGGCCCCACGCCCCAGGCTGTGGGCTTTCTCACTACACCTGCTCGCTCAACAAATATTACCTGAGGTCCCCGATGTGCCAAGCACAGGGGGCAGTGGGAAAGGGCAGACAGGCCTCTGCTCATGTAGTTCCCCCTCTGGTGGCTTCACTGGATTCTAGATCCCAAGCTGCTCTAGTCACTATGGGATTTGAGCAAAGCCCTGTCCTCTCTGGGCCCACATACCCACCTTGAGATGGAGGGTGTCAAAAGAAGACCATAAAGGCCTGCTCAGCTCTGAATCACTGGGCTGTTGGGTCAGGGAGGAGGGGGAAAGTTCAGCACTGCCCAGGTCCCTTCCCCATGGCCTCTGCATGCAGTCTACAGCACATCCAGGCACCTGCTGAGGGCAGTGCAGGGCTCACTGCCCACTCTCCCGTACATCTGGATGTCTCCTGGGACGAGGGCAGAGCTCAGAGCACTGGCTGTGTGCTACGGAGGAACACAGGCCCACTCAGAGCTGGCCGCTGGACCACCCCTCCATCCTGTCAGCACCAGCCCCGGGAACAGCTCCCGACCTCCAGCTCAGAGAGCTCAGGCTGGGTTTTGCCTGTAGCGTTTCTAAGTGTGAAAACCCACCAAGACCCTGGGGAGCGGGTCTTGTTTTACAGATGGGAAAACCGAGGCTCATGGAGGTGAAGTGGCCCAGCCAGTGTCACAGAGCCAGGAAAAGGCAGAGCTGGAATTCAGACTTAAAAACATCTTTCCATTTCCCGCTGCCATATCCTGGTCCTTGTAGCAACTAGCTGTGTTCCCTCAGGCAAATCACATCACCTCTCTGAACAAGGTAGGGAATATCAGGTCCTAAGTGCAGAGCCCGGCACATAATGAGCCTGTGACAAATGCCACCTATGCCTGGAGCCTCACCTGCTTCCTGTTACCGTTTTTTCTGGCCCTGGCTGGAGTGTCATCCTTCAGGACGTTACATTCCCTTGCTGGCGTTCCCACAGCAGCTGCGTTCCCAACACTGATCAGACTTGCAGTGCTCTGGTCCGCACCTAGCTCCCCTGCCAGGTTCTGAACCCCGTGAGGACAAGCACTCTGTGACTCTCAGCTTTAGCACTATGGCAACCTGCACCCCGAGTTCTGGCGCACAGTAGGTACTCAATAAATGGTGAATGCGTGCCTCTGCCAGGCCGGCCCACTCTGCACCCTGGCCCAGCCTCCGGCCTAGGCGGCAGTCTCTGGGGACCCCTGATAACATGGCTCCCGCCCAAAGGTGCACACTCCAGCCCTTTCCATGGCTGACCCTTCTTAGGCAGGTTGTCGCTCTCCTGCCAACGTCCTCCTGTTCTCCAGAAGCCGCCATCTGCCTGTCACTCTCTGGAGTGGCTCTGACGCAGGCCCTGCCACCCACCTGTGTCCTCCCTTATGGTGGCTGCAGAGAGCACCAGGCCCCATCTGCTCCACGTCCCCAGAAAGAAGCAATGAGCTCCCTCGGAACAGCCAAATCCTCAGTTCTCACTCGGAGCTCAGGGAGGAAGGGAGGGGCCAGGCGGGGAAAGTCCTTGTAGTCACCATTCAGTCAGTGGCCTTGGGCTGCCCCTTACCATTCAGGCTTCAAAGACCTGCCCGACTGACTCCCACTTTCTAGGATGCCACCTCCTGCCCTTCCTTTCCTATCACTCCTCTCCCAACCCTGGGAATCTGATCCTGCAATGTCACCTCTCCCACTCTGATAGGCTGAGTTGAGTCTTTCTCCCGAACCCCAAATTCATATATTGAAATGTTCTTAACTCCTGGTAGCTCAGAATTGGCTGCCCAGAAGATGAGACCTTCACCGAGGTGACTGAGGTAAAATGAGGTCATTAGGGTGGACTTAATCTGAAATGACTGGTATCCTCACAAGAAGAGGGTACCAGCACACAGACACCCACCCCGGGAAGACCATGTGCGGACACAGGGAGGTGGCGGCCTTCTCCATGCTAAAAGAGCGGGGCCAGAGCAGACCCAGGTCACAGACCGCAGTAGGAACCGACCAGACAGCTCGATCTGGGATTTCTGCCTCCAGAACCAACACAGAATACATCTGTTTGTTAAATGGCGTGTTCTGTGGTGTTCTGTGGCATGTCTGCCCTCAGCGTCATTGTTATTATCACATCCTCATCCCCACGGTTGAGCCACCCACTGGAGACACTCAGCTGCAGCCTTGAAGGTCAGGGGTGCCCTCAGGTGCACAGAGCCTCCTCCCAGTCTCACTCCTTCCCAGTGTGGCCACATCCAACCACTGATGGGGGCACCTTCTCCCCCCTCAGGACAGCTGGACAGGCAGTCCCAGCTCCCTCAGAGGGACATCAGGGCTTCCACTGAGATGGCATCATGGTCCACTGTCCCTGCCCACTCCCATTTGCTAACTTTCCTTCCCTGCCGTCGATCCCAAGAGTGTGCCTCATAAACCCCCTGCACACGAGCCCCCCTCAACCGGGACTGCCACGCTGTGGCGTGGACGGTCAGAACAGCGGTGAACACAGGGCAGGTGCAAATGCTGCGAATGGAGGTGCAACTGCCCCTGAATTCACCTGGGCAGGAGGTGGAGGCTGGGCCCTCTCACCAGCCCTCGGGTATGGAGCTACAGGGATGGAATCAGAGAGTCCTGCCCCCGAGGGGCTCCTAGTCCACTGAGTCCTGGGGCTGATGAGGTGCCCAGCAGATGCCCCACTCCTGGTCCTGCTGCGCCCGCCTCCCCTGGACCAGTTTAGAAATGCAAATTCCTGGGTCCCGCCCAAGAGCTACTGAGCCGGAAAATGTGCGGCATTTCTCAAGCCTTCCAGGTGATTCTGAGAGATGCCCAAATTGGATTAGAGAACTGGAGGGGAAGAGGAAGAGGAAGGAGAGGGAATGTGGAGGAGGAAGGGGAAAGGAAGAAATTCAGCAGCCAGGACTCTTGCAGGACCCTCCCCACACTGTCACCTTCTGGTCACTTCTCCCTCCAGCCCCTTCCAGCCCTAAGGGTGGTGATGATCCCTGGCTCCCTGCTGTTACTAGCCAGGGGTGCTACGTCCTGCTTTGCAGATTCCCAGCCTCCTTCCCACCGGAGTCCACAGTCCCCCTGTTAAAGCTGCCTGCCGTCATGGCTGAGTTTGGGGGACCATCTGATTCCTACTGCATCCTGACTCTATGCACAAACCCTCTCAAGTCTGAGCGTGCAGAGTGGAGAAGACCTTCTGCTTCCCCTGGGTCACATGGTAGGGAGGAGCCCAGGGCTGTCTGGCCCCAAGCCTCTCACCTGGGCATGGATCCAGGGCAGGGTGACAAATGGAGGTGGGGAGCCAGCACCACGGGCGTGTGCAGGTGAGGACCTCCCACCTCCAAAGCCTAGCTATCAGGATCTCAGAGGAAGTTAATAACCGCAGGCAGCCCGAGGCCAGGGAGGAAATTAAAAAGGCTGGTGACTAGAGCTGGGGACAGATGCCCAGCACAGAAGGTGGCTGTGAGACTCTCTCCATGTATCAGAAAGAGGCTGCTGTCCACCCCAAGGGGAGGAAACCACCTGGGACGGACCAGAGTGTGGGCAGGCAGGGGCCAGAGCCCTGGGGGAGGAAGATCCAGAATCTAGCTCAACTCTTTCTCCCCCACAGGGGTGGGCTGGAGCAGTGACGGCAGCAAGGTCCCCTGGTTCAGCGTGGCCCCCTGGCTCAGCACGACCAGCATGCTTTTCTAGGCTCTGCCTCAGGAATCCAGGATCTGGGCTGCCCTCAGGAAGTGCAGAGGAGGGGGTGGTGCCACTCTGGAGCCACCCAGACCGGCCCCAGCACCCCAGCGCAGCCACTCCAGTCCTGCATGAGTGTAGCCGGTCATGCCCTGCTGGCACCTCAGGGGCTCCTCTGTGAAGAGCGGCAGGGATATTACATGAGATGTACTGTGTGAAACAGCAGGAAGGGCTTGCACACAGTGGGGGTTTTATGATGGCAGTGCTCAGCACTCATTATTTCTGAGCACTCACTTTGTGCCAGGGACAGTGTGTAAGCACAGTTCTAATGAGGTTATTTCCAAATGATTCCACTTTACAGGTGGGGAAACTGAGGCACAGATCTTAAAAGATAACCCACACATGGTTATACAGAGGCGGCAGGAGGCAGACCAAGGGCCTCATCCTAATGGATACCTTGTCCACAGCAGAAAGCAAAGGCCATTTAGAACAAATGCTTTTGTTACCTCTCCAGCTTAGAGTGAGAGGAGGCTTACTGAGCATCTACTATGTGCCAAGGGCTTTATTCAGTCCTCAAAAGAGTACTAATGATTATCCTCATTTTAAAGGTACATACATCTGGGGCAGCTCAGTGATACAGCACGTGTGAGGCCCTGGGTTCCATCCCCAGCATCAAAAGAAATACAAGATGTTTAATCAAGTCTCAGAGGGTTTATGCACAACTCCCAGGGTCACACTGCCAGGAAAGGGCACAGCTGGGGCTTGAACCCAGGTCTCTGTGAAGCTTCATCTCCAGCCCCATCCAGTACTG